CCCTAACCCTAACCCTAACCCTAACCCTAACCCTAACCCTAACCCTAACCCTAACCCTAACCCTAACCCTAACCCTAACCCTAACCCTAACCCTAGTGATTTTTTCCCCTAAGCTTTAATTAAAATTTAGATAAATTAATATTTTAATACAAATATATGTTTTATAAAATTAGTAGTTTTTCTTAAATTCCTTTTGTTAACCCTATTATTTTACTTGTTTTCTTACTTATAATGCTTTATTAACTTCTTTGAGATATTTATACTACTTTTATAAATTATCCTTGATTTAATCTTCAACATTCTTAATAATTATTATAGTTTCTTCTAGGACAAATAGAGCAAAAGGATAGAATAAGACATTTTAATAAATTAAAAAGCTACAATTAGCTGATATTAGCAGCTAGATTGAATATCCAGGGTTTAATGTTACGTACGGCAATATTATCAAAGCACGGATCTTGGATTCGGAGAAGAACCTTGAAGAGCTGCAACGGCTTCAATCTCAAACAAGAGCTCGGCCCGAGCAAGAGCAGGTACTGGAACCAAAGTTGTGCACGGCCTGTGGCCTTGAAGGTAGTCCATGAGGATTTCAGCATGTGGGCGCCAGGTCGGATTGTAGTTGACGATGTAGTAGGTAAGTTTGACAATATCTTTGCGGCCAGCTCCAGCACTCTTCAGGCAGGCATCGAGATTGTCGAGGCAGAGTTTAATCTGATCGGGGTACGCAGCGGGAATGTTTCCGTGGCGATCGATGGGCATTTGCCCGCTTGTATGGATGACGCGCGCATTGCTATTGATCGACACTACTTGTGCAGTCATAGGGCTGGCAGAGATCTCTGGCGGGTCAATGACCGTCAGTGCTGGATGCGAGGAGGGCGCCATTGGTGTGGATTTCTTTGAAGAAACAAATAAGTCAATGAGAAGGAGAATTTTGTTAGAAGGAAAAACGTACGGATTTACATGATGAATTATTATATTTTCTGAAATCCTTAGTTGAAGGTTAGTTTGACATCACACGAAGATAAAGTTTAGGGCAGGTAACAGCGAGCTTATCTTAGTGGGCATTCGTCGTTAAGCTCCCGACGGCGTTAGTTGCCCCGAAACCCAAATTACCACAGTATCCGCTTATCAATAATCCCTCTAATGAAAAATCCGGCTCTCCTCCTCTCGGTGGGTGAAAATAAAGATATGATTCGCTGTAAGACTTCATCGCAGTATATTAAATTCAATAGATTCTTATACGTTCGCTGATGTTGGAGATCAAGTCCATCGCCCTGGCAAGCGGGTCTATTTACACAATGACTTGGTGAACACAATGTTTCGGATCGATTCCGCAGACACATGTTTCAAGCCGGGCATGTGCCAAGATCTTGAAAAGTATACGATGAAAGCCATCTATATAAAATTGCTGTTGGGTTAGCAACAACAGGGCAATTTTATTGAGATCTTAATAATTGTAGATGAGCCAGTCAGAGAATCTGAACACCTCAGTGGACCTCTTCCAGATCTAAAAACTGTTTCTGATATTTTCAAAGGTCTTCGGGGCAGGGCAAAAGAAAGATGGCAAAAGGAATTTTAAATTCATCTTTAACTGAAGCGAGTCGATACACATATTAGTATTGGGTAGAAAAGAATTGAAAGTCAATTGGAAAGAGCTAATTAATGGGATGTCATCGCTTTTCGTCTTTTTTCAGTGGGCAAAATATGCATATTTCCGAGATATCTTTCATTTTCTTGAAAGATAGAAAGACGGCTTAGGGGGATACAATTAGGCAAGCTTTTTCTTGATGACAATCACATGAAAGGTTATAGAAAACAATTTTTCTTTGGCAGAGCTGAGTAGATTCAATCTGTAATTGGGAAAAGAATATGCCGTGGATTACTACTTTGTAAAGGCATCTCTGATCAAGTATACTTTCAGTGAGTGCTACGTAGTCTAGTTGCAGAGGCTACAAAAGATGCAATTACCGCTGTCACGGCCGCCGCTGTTGACGCTGCAAAGGCATAGCGCAGCCCATCGTAATAAACAAGACGAACCTGTAGTTGTGTGTGAGAAGGTAATTTGTGTATTATATCGACTGAGTGTCGAATCTCGTCTACAATCTGCTCAAGGGTGGATCCATGTCAGTGCATCAGATTTCAAATAATATGCCTAGGTTCGGCTAGAAGGTATAGATAGCGGGGCTTACTCTCCATTTGTCTGGTATGTCGCCTAGAGAATCTGGCAGCCGGAAGCTGAGTGTGGTTTGAACTATAGCAGAGGTGATGGACACCCCCCACACTCCGCCGAGAGACCGGATAAGATATACGGTCGAGGAGGAAACGGCATGATCTGCGGAAAAAAGTAGACGTCAGCAAGCCTGGACGTGGTGAAGTTGACCTATTCAGACGTACCCTCGTGATCAAAGGAAGCAAGTGATGTGAATAATATGGATGGATATATGATTCCTTGTCCAAGGTTAGCTGGGAAGATGTAGACAAAGTACTTCCACATGGAGTCAGTAAAGCCGAGAGAACAGAGCAAGCCATTGCCTAGAGCCATTAGAATGGCTCCGGAACGTATCAGGCCTACAAGCCTTCCCCATCTCGACATAATTATTCCAGCCGCCAAGGACCCCGTAGGAGTGGCCAGCGAGGGAATAATAAGCCGCGTGCCAGCTTTGGTAGCAGATTCCAGCAAAACAACCTGGAAGAAAAGTGGTAGCATAAAGAGAAACTAAATCTAATTAGTGAGGGATATCCAAATGAAATCAGTCAAGAAGGTAAACCAACTCCGTAAGCAGCTAGACCAGCGCAAACGTTGGCAATCTGAGTAGCGACTGGCAGTCTTCCCCGTAGCATTCGAAGTGGTATGATTGGTATTGCTGATGTTTTGGCCTCAATGACGAAAAATGCAGCAAACAACAGAATACTCCCTATCAGAGCACCTATGACCCAGGGACTGGTCCACGGAAATTTGTTTCCGCCCAGACTAAGACCGAGAAGTTGAGTTGAGATAGCGAAAACTAGGACCAAAGCGCCAAAGAAGTCCACCCGTTTCCAGGCCGCACCAAAACCCTCGCCCGCAAACAAGAAGCCCCCTGCCTGGTTCTTCACTGCGAGGACACCGACAGCCAGAGCGAAAACAGAAACTGGTACCTGCAGGAGGAAACACCATCGCCAGCCTATCTTGTCTGCGATACTCCCGCCCAATGATGCTCCGCATATTGCTCCAAGGCCAAAGATGCCATTCTGCATAGCTTGATATATACCTCGCTTACGGAATGGAATCATGTCTGAATTGACGATTGTCGCTAATAATATGTCAGTATAGTTCTGGTAATGAGATTGAAACTGAACAAGGTTTTGGTACCCATAGTCATCAAACCTCCGCCTCCCAAGCCCGTCAGCGCCCGCATAATGTTGAGTGTAATAATGTCGCCAGCAAGACCGCATCCTAGGCAGCCTATCGCGAAGGTGATAGTAGATACGAAAAAGCATATTCTGCGACCAAAAATATCCGATACCCGACCATAGAGTGGCAGAAGAGCAGTGCTTGTAATTAGATACGACGTAGTCAACCAGGAAGCAGTGTTGGCGGCATTAAATTCTGAACTGATTACAGCGTAGGTGGCAGCTGTAATTGTGCCATCAAACGCGTTGAGAAAGACATTGCTCATTAGAGCGACTTGGATCCAGACAAAACCCCGGGGAGCCTTCCATTTTGCACATTCATGATCGCCGAGAAGTGGCTGATCTTCGCGGAGCTCATTGGGCTCGTCGGACGGAGCTTGAGGGTGGTGATTATTATCGCCAAGGTCTCCTGTCTCGGTCTCGGTTCCCAATATCGCCATATTTGAGTGTCTGTAAGGGTAACACTACCAGCAGAGGAAAGTTCGGTCGCAGAGGGCAAGAAAAGGCCGCGCCAGAAAGAAGAATAATTAATGAAAATCACGAGACACGACTGAATTATATAATTGGAAGGCAAAACTTTCTTTCTATATCCTAACAATTTTTTTTTTCACTTCTGCTTGTCGGCAAGAGGAGCGAACACAGCGACCGAAAACCGTGTGGGCCGGATCCACCCTGCAGTATGTACGATGAGATCCCAGCAATGGAGCCATGATACCATGGGTTCAGCATGTCATTGCGACTAGAAATTACTATTTGATCTGCGTTGTTATGACCAAATGACTGAAGGTTGACTCATGTCACAGAAATGAAATATCCAATGATGGCTCGTCCCGTGCTTTGCTTCATAGCTTGTGCGAATGACGTGATCTCCATAAGTCTGCCCGGTGTTGATAAACACCTTTGAGCCTGCCGTGCTCTTTAACCAGTGTCTGACAACAGCACTTTCTTCCGTTTTTTTGATTTTGATAGATACTTGCATGCACAAGAGTGAGGGAGTTACAAATTCTTATAAGTTTTCTAGGGCTCGCAGACTGCAACAAGGTGAATGTACCTATTCCTGGACAATGATGGAGACACGGGAATCTGATTCTGTTAGCATACAATCGACAGAAGAATCAACACGATATCCAGGATGAAGGTTGGTCTCTGCACTCTTGCATTGAGTGTGGCGATTTTATGTGTGCCTGCTGCGGCCGACTGGCAGTTCCGCTCTCGTCCTGATTTGGCTCCTCCACGCCTGAATATCACCATACCAGCGACTGATGCCGTTGAGAATGGGTACCTTTTCCTTGCGCCTTTCGCCGGTTACCCAGACACTCCCAGTGAGCAGCATGGTCCTCGCCAAGCTGGTCCGTATATTTTCAGGGATAACGGCGATCTTGTGTGGTCTGGGTACGCCCTTTACAGCATTTGGGCAACCAATTTTCAGGCGGGTCGCTGGAAAGGCAAAGACATTTTGTTCAGCTTTGAAGGCGACCACAATGCTGGATATGGTCACGGCCATGGTCACGTCACGTTCATGGATCACCACTACGAGACCGTTCGTGAGTTGCGTGCTGGGAGCCACAAGCTTGTTGACAAGCATGAGTTTCACATTATCAACGAGCAGACTGGCCTGATTCAGATCTACCAGCCTGTGCCTCGGGACCTCACTCAATTCGGTGCCAGCCCAGAGCAGCAATGGATTGTAAATGCTATTATACAAGGTAAAACCATTTTTAAATCACTAATGGAAATAGTACTGCAAGAGCTAACTCAATTCTCTTTAGAGCTCGATATTTCAACTGGAAAACTGCTGTTTGAGTGGTCCAGCCTGGATCACGTCACTCCTGATGGTAAGAATAGAAATATGTACTGTACAACGCCCGTTCTAGCTCTAATGCATCTTTTTAGAGGCCATTCTTCCCATCAATCCAGGTCAAGCGGGCTCGGGATATAACTCCTCAGACGCGTGGGACTACTTCCACATCAACAGTGTTGACAAGGATTCCAATGGCAACTACCTCATCTCTGCTCGTGATGCTTGCGCTGTTCACAAGATCAATGGCACCGATGGCTCCATAATCTGGCGTCTCAATGGGAACCGTTCTGACTTCAAGATGGCCAATGGTACCAGGTTTTGCTTCCAGCACCATGCTCGTTGGTTGAAGCAGGATAACGATATTGAAATTATCAGCCTATACGACAACAGTGCGCACGGAACTGAGAACAGTGGTGGTTCGTTGGTTCACACTGCACCCACCAGCAGCGGCAAGATTCTCAAATTGAACACCACGTCCTGGAGTGCTGAACTCCTCGGAGCCTACTACCCTCCCGACGATCTCCTGTCAAAGTCCCAGGGCAGCACGCAGGTACTGCCTGGCGGAAACGTCCTTGTCGGCTGGGGTTCTGAAGGCGCTATCACCGAATTCACGAGTGATGGAACTCCCATATTTCACGCTTACCTGGACTCAGGATTTTTGGGTCAAGGTGTTGAGAACTACCGCGCTTTCCGCTACAATTGGACGGGCTTGCCGAGCGAGGATCCTGCGATCGTTGCTCTCCACAACGAGCATGGGACTAGTATCTATGTCTCATGGAACGGCGACACCCAGACGGCTTTTTGGCGCTTTTATGCCGTGGCCGATGAATTTGGTTCTCGCGAATTCCTTGGCGAAATTGAGCGCAGGAGCTTCGAGACTAACCTTCACGTACCCAATAAGAAACTTACTGCGGTAGTGGCGGAAAGTTTAGATGTATTAGGGAAGGTTCTCACTTCTACTGCAACTGTTAAGACCGAGCAGGAGATTTTGCCCGCTAGCGCCAAAGATGACTCCTGGCCTAACAGCGTCAACTCCATTCATGAGGCGAAACCAGAGGGAAAACTTAGCCAAAGCAGCAAATGGGAGGAGTATGCCATTCTCAAATTTCAGCGCCTAGGCTTGAATGCGGGTGATGACTTTTGAAACTATCCGTACGATGAGTAAATCATTAAATGTTGGCTGTTGCAAGCTCATTCAAACGGTAAGCTGGAGCCTATAGAAAGATACATGGTATTATTTATGTTTTGTATAGATCTTCCCTTTGAGATTTAGTCTGTATACTCAACCCATGGGTCTAAATCGTAGTTAGGTATTGGATAATACTAAGCATTTACATACGGGCCATTTTTTTCAACTTCTTCAATTGCTTTAATCGTTTATTCTTACGTCTGAAATATTAAAAGCGCCTCTTTTTTATTTCAATGAGATCTAGTTGTTTCTAGTCAAAGATGTCCGTGGATGGCAATGTAAACTGGTAGTCTTTGGTCGTTGGTTTCTCGCGCGTGTGACATTACTACTGTAGTAGTCAAACTTATCCGGACCCAATTCTAGTAAATTCTATCTATCAAACATTATAATTTATAATACATATCTAAATTCAGGGTTTTCCCGATCTGTCAAGTCGAGAAATTCGTGGTTTTCCTCTACGGTATATGCATCACCGAGCTCCTGTTTGCGCAGGTCACGCTTCCTGTTTTCTCTGACAGCGAGCCAGCGAATCAACCCCAGATCTACTGTGATGAGGAAGTAAAGGATTACAATAGAGATTTTGGCAGGCAGATATCTGGGCCCATCCTTTGCCTGGAATGTTTGAGGGGAAATAATGTTGCCGACTGTATACGCGATTGTTTGGATACAGGCGACAGTAATCTTCTTTGTCGATCCGGCAATATTCGTACTTGTTAAACCAAGGATGGTCGTCCAGCCGATAGGAATGCCACCAGACAGATAGTATCCGACAAGAGCAGGGGCTTTGTTTGTGGTTGCCATGAGGATGGCACCTACAAATGAAGGGACATGGCCGATCATGCACCACAAAAGCCGCTGGTTCGTCCTCATACTGAGATATGTAAGACCTATAAGAGCGACGACCTCGTATGCGCCGAGAGGTGTCACGAGTAGTAAACTTTCAGTAGAGGTATAACCCATTCCCGTGACAAGGATGTTGCCAAAACTCGTCGCAATTGAGTTTGGGATATTAGCGGCAAAAACCCAGAAGGAATACAGCCAGGTATTGGGATCCTTCAATGCCTCGTAAACTTGGGCTCGTTTGAAGATATTGCTGCCGATACCCTGCTCGTTCTCTCGAAGTCGTTCCGCATGCAGCCTCTTCTCGGCTGGTGAGAGGAAGCCCGCGGAGAGCGGTGAATTGGGGAGTATGAAAAAGAATATAATGCCGATAACAGCTGTCAAGAGACCCAACACCAAGAATATGACCTGCCAGCCGCGGAGGGCCGCATGGGGGTCACGGCCCAGGTGTATCGCAATGCCATAGGCGATATAGCCGCCAAACATTTGGGCAAACCCACACATGGAGAACCAAATCCCGACTCGGAATGCCTGCTCTTCCTTCCTATACCACTGGGACGTGAAAACCACCCAGGCCGGCACGATTGCGGCTTCCGCACATCCCAGCAATGCCCGGCACACCATCAAACTAGCAAAAGACTTGCAGGCAGCCATGCACGAAAGAAGACCGCCCCATATGATGACGTTGACGGCGACATATCGCGCGAGTGGAAAAGCCTGCATTAAGCGTATTGTCGGAAATTCAAAGGCCAATTGGCCAAAAAAGAAGATACTCGAGACCCAATTGAATTGATTCCCGTGGAGGTGCGCGGATTGGCGGAGACCCATCACACTCGCATAGCTGATTGCAATCTTGTCGAGATACTGAAGAAAATAGACGATGCAAATCAGAGGCATAATATACAAGTCAATTTTTCGGAGCAGTCTTCGCTCCTTGACAGCAGACGGGTCGTCTGTGCCAGGCTCGCTATTCTCAGCGCTGGTTGATGCATTGAGGAGTTGCAGAGCGCCATCACCAACTGAGGGAGTGATAGCAGGGCCCCGGGTCGTTGCGACGGTGGCTTCATTTTTTGTTTCCAGGGGATAAGGTTGCGCCGGCGGCCTTTCCTTCTGGTCGGTCAGGGTCTCCATCTTCCAGGGTTCGTATCCAACTATCCCGTTGGTCGGATGAAGAAACGAAATATTGTATGACAACCAAAAGACCCAGGGAAACGGAAACTGTGATTCGGAGCCATGACTATTAAATATTTTACTGCAGCTGTTTTTTTTTTTTGTTGCAAAATGGACAAAGAGTCATACGAGGCTATGACAAGCTTATCGATCTGGAGCACGCAATGTGGAGAAGAGATTCGTCATTGGTAGAGAAAGAAGTTACATATCCGGGGGTTATCAATAACGTTATTACCTGACCCCTGTTTTGCCGAGCCGTCCATGTCACCATTTTAGGCTTGATGAGCCACGTGGAGCATGCTTGTAGTCTTGTAGAAATTTAGTTGGCCAGCTATTATGTTTGAGTCAAAGCAAGAAGAGCTTTTAAGAACTCACAACGTAGAGCTCATCACGAATTCAGTAGATGGTAATATAACTGACTACTAGGCATGGCATATGTTAACTTAACAAAAAGCTGGCGAGCCATCAATTCACTGCTAAAAACTCGGTTCTTTCGGGGGGTATGCTCAGATGTACCCCAGTATACTTAGCGAGCCTTATCCACAGTCCACTGTTCTTTAGCGATAAACCTTAGTGGCAAATACATCCTTAATAGTTAACCAGAGTTTATGGATATCCATCTAATTATGATCACGTCGCTCCTTCTCCTCCACAAGGAGAAATATTCATTTATTACCCCAGTAGAATGCCACTGCAATAGGAAGCTCTTGGTGAAACGCCATTTCAAATAATGCAGCTGCTAATCTTCCACACCGGTTTTTTCCATCTCAGTTCAGAGCAAGAGACTCGAGACATACATTGCATTCTGGCTGAATCCCTACAGCCTTCGTGGGTAGAAGCCCAAGCTGAATGACCGTGTTGCCCTGCAGTTCGTATGGAACTACCTCAGCTTTGCTCGTTGTTGGTTTCTCGGCCTTTGCACTCGGGACCATCCATATGGGTCCACAAATGATGGGTGCACTGTCAATTTGTTTAAGGTTGTCTGGCAATGGCAGAATCTGTCTTCGAGAGCACCATACAAAGTCTTGCCATTCTTTTCCATATATGTTAACAGTGTCGGCGAGCAGGCGAGTGGGGATCTTTACGTGGAGAATCCCCACTCCACGAGCGCCCTCGTTCCTTCTCCATGCATAGCCCGCATACTTGTTGGCTACTTCTTTCTGCTTCGCCAGATACAGGCGCATGATAAAGCCCGACAGATCCGTCGGCGGTCTTGTGCACACTTTAGCCAAACTGCCTGCCTTTCCATTCTCGCGAACCTTAAGCGCTTTTTTTAGGACCATTAGCTCGCCGCCCTTATAGAAGGTGGTCGTCGACTCGTTCCTTTTCTCTTTAGTTTCTGCTTCCACCGCTTGCTTTGTCGAGGAAGGGGAAGGAGTGGTCTCGAGTTGTGGTTTCTTTGGCGGAGACTCCTGCATTGACGCCGTTGGATTTGTCGAGCCGACGGCATGAGCTTTACCTTTGCCTTTTGTTTGCGCCCCCGACACTTGTTTTGGTTCCGCAGGCCCTTCCGGAGAAGCTGGAGAGAGCGGTGAGCCCAGCTTCCTCGCCTCGTCTGAAAACATGGACGGAATATTTGTGGTCTGAGAGCTGGATGATAATGGAAACAAAGCAGCAGACAGGTGTAAGCGTTCTGAGGACAGCTCTGTAGAAATCCTATCTGAGATTTCTTCGAGGAACTCGAAGTCCCTCTCCATCGTGTCTATGAGCCAATAGTGAGCGGTCTCTGACAAACGGATTTCGCTATATTCCGGCGACATGATAGCTGTTTGCAAGCGCTCAGCTATTCCGATGTTCGCCATTACGGCGTTCCAGTCATCCCCCTCATCAATCGCGTCAGGGAAAGATCTTATGTATGCACGGACCATTGTCATGAAGGGATTCATCTCCGGTTCTTCGAGCTTCTGTATCCTTTGCCATAATTTCTTCGCTGCTCTCTCGGTAAAACCAAGGTATTCAAGGGTTTCTCTGCTCTCGACATATTCTGGAATGGTAATCGAATCCTTGCTGCCTCCTGAGGTAATGCTTTTGCAAGTTGAGCCGAAAATCGACCGCCAGCCATTTGTCTCTGTGGGCGTGGCTGGGGTGCCGAAATTTTTCAATTTTGCTAGAGCTTCAGCCGTAAGAGAGGGCACTCGAGACATCATGTGTCTTTTATTCTTGCAGAGAAAAGGGGGCTAGAAGAAAAATCAAAGAATGTAAAAAGGCAGACTGGTACAAACACAATGTAGATCTTAGATAACCCTGTTAAAAGAGAGTTTCATGAAATTCCTCTTTCAAACACGATACATGGAAAAGATTAGAGCGCTGCACAATATCAATGATGGGTTGTCTACTTTAGTGTAAAAGACAACTTGGGGGTCAAGCCTGTATATATACAAATATAATCGTGAATCCTTCACTATTTAAAGTAGTAATTATAACTAGGCCAGAAGTGAATTATTCCATCGCTCCTGATATTTCCATCTTATCTAGCTCCATTACCTCAAGTCAACTAAGTATGACGATGACTCAGTGTTTAGCGATGCTGGAGAAGACCTCACAGTATTTGCAACATGTCATCTATAGTTCAAGCTAGTCCCTCCTTGGCTTGAAACACGGTGTCTATTGCTTGACAAGCTTTCCAATGCTGGGATGATGTGTCTCGTCGAACAGATCTCCGTTTAGTCAGTGAATTTCCTAGGTTTGACTAGTCTATGTACTTGATGATTCAATAGGCTTGAGAAAGCGTCCTTGAATCCAGCATCGATACATTTTGAGTTGTCGCTTCCGATTGACCAAGAGCCGGCGATCAATGCCTAGATTTGCAGTCTCAAAAAACGCACTTGGTGTCGTGCTTGGTTTGTCGGTATCTTGTTCACCCTCCGCTTGTTCTTCATCCGGCAGACAACCGTGCTCCCATATTTGCTGTAACTCCTCCTTCTCGAAAAAGTATACTCTAGTGCCGTCGCCCCGAATATAGAAATTTTCTTCGAGATATCTTCCTTTCTTGAATCTAACCTGGGCCAAATCACCGCGTCCATAGTCGCGAAACAAGACCTGTCCGCCAGGCTTTAAAACTTTAAAGATGTTCTTGACAGCTTGGTTCCATTGGCGTGGGGACAATGCGGAGAAAATAAAGATCATCATGACAATATCGACGGAGCCTTCCTTTAAGCCCGGCGGCAGGGCGGCCTCTCCGGTCCCTGCGATGTCCCAAACATCGGCCCGGATATACTCTTCGTTATACTGAGAATCAGCCCGTATCACCTCGACAGCATTCTTCGAGAAGTCGCATGCATGAATCTTCAACTTTGGGTTGCGGTTATGGGACAGTATGGGGAATGCAGTGTTTCCGGCACCAGCGCCAACTTCCAGAAGTGTCGTAGGCGGCGAGTCCGGTTGCGTGACTGTCGAAAGGACGGGGAACTCATTTTGTAGCCATTTTCGATTCTTGAAAAAGTTTGCAGTGTTGTTGCGATAGAAGAGGTTCCACCATTTTGCGGGGTCCGAGTTGAATCGGTCTAAAGATTGTTAGCCTGGCTGCCGGCGGCTTGATACGGAGTGTATTTACGCTTGTCAAAGTCCGACACGGGGGATTCCCTTTGCTTTGCATATTGCACCTCCGCGAACTCCTTGTAAGTATCATCCGTCTCTACATTATCCCATGCGTTGAACTCAAAAACATCATCGCCCTGTTCCAGGTAGCGAGAGCCGAACTTGAACGGATCACTCCGTTTCAAGTTGTTGCGACGATCGTGAGATCGATGTGGAGGTATGGAATCATCGGAGGGCGTAGCTGTCCCGGAGGGGACAGTAGAAGAGGCCACAGAGGGTGTTGTTGTGGGCGTGATGTCGGATAAACTGGCCTCCTGCAACGTCAAGGAACTCAAATCAGAGGGTGTGATATCGCGAGAATCTTCGCCATTCCCGGCAGTGTCCATTGCAAAAGCTCAATGTATTTAGTCTTCGTAACGAAAATATCTTGAGGAGGTCGGCCGGCGACCATTCAAATGCGTCAATAAATGAGTGAAAAGATAAAAAAAATGAAGGGCGATTGAGTGTTTCGGACCGTCTCCCCAAAAAAAGTTTCCTGGTACTGGCTTCTTGCATAGCGCCGGAACCCCTCGGCCCCTCCAATGGGGAAAATTTAGACGCGACTTGTTAGGCGCTCGTCAATTTCAGTCCCTGTTCTGGCTTAGCATAGCCGAGATATGGTAAGGCAGAAGGCCTGGAGATAGACATGCAAATTAGCAGAGCTAGTGATAGCATATCATAAAACATGGCGAATTAATGGATCTGATCTCAATTGAGGCACATTCATAATGAACGCGCAGAAGCGGAGCCGACAGCTATCTGCACCAGACGACCCGGTGGCACCACACGTGAAGAGGCGTCGTGATGCAATAGCTTGTCATTCCTGTCGAAGTCGTAAATTAAAATGCGATCGAGGTTATCCATCATGCGATCGGTGCTTGAAAAGTGGACAAGGGAGACTCTGCACTTATGATGTACACGTTCCTGGAGCCTCAAACGGAAGTGCCACTCCAGCTGGACACAGCCGCAGGTCTTCGTCCCCATGGAAGATCCCCGGCCCTGGTCCCGGCGGACAAGACTCTAATGAGGCTCCATCTAATATTTCCTGTCAGAATGACAAAATTACCCAGCTAGAAAGACAGATAATTCAACTACGAACTGAATTGGAAAACCTGAGTTCCACTCTCTATATCCAGTCCCGAAGTTCTCAAAATACAATTTGCACAAATTGGTTTCAGCTGGGAAGAGAGAAATCATCTCTAAATACTGAAACTACCGAAATACAGCCTATTAATTTCCGGGGAAGAGGTTTCCAAACTCAATTTTACGGCCCGAGCAACCCATATAGTTTCAGGACCTATGTATGTTACTTCCATGTAGTTTTCGTAATCGTAACTAATCCTCAAAGTTTCCTGAACTCCACCATTTTATAAAAGAAAGAATTATTAGCAACCCTTCCATGCTTCCAATGGAGGCTGAAATAAGAAGTCAGAAGAATAAATGGAAACAGAACTTCAGAAACACGAAATTTGAAGTCAGGGTGGATGCTTTGAGTCACCTACCGCAAAAGCACATCGCTGATGAACACATGGAGCTCTATATTTCAACATTTGAAAACATATACCAAGTCTTACATGTGCCCACCTTTCGAACTGATTACGAGACATTCTGGAAGAACCCCAGCGCAGGCGATCCGGGATTTGCAGCACTCATGATAGTCATAATGTCAACTGTGCACTGTGCAACCGCTTCGCAGCCACTTCGATACTTTGGTGCTAGCTCCTCACAAAGAGAGAAGGCGGAAACGTGGATTCGAGTTGCTGATTCATGGCTGCAGAGGCAAAGCCAGAAGCACACCCATCTTAGAATGTTTCAAGTTCATTGTCTTCTTGTTCTCGCAAAGCAGGTCAATGAAATAAAGCCTAAGGCAACTTGGAATTCTGCTGAAACGCTTTTACGATCCTGCATTGTAGCAGGGCTTCATCGAGAGCCGAGTTTGCTCGGAGAAGACATCTCGGCTTTTGACCAGGAGATGAGGCGACGAATATGGGCAACGGCAGTGCAATTAGAGCTTGATAGTGCTATTGATCGAGGTGTATCGAGCAGCTTAGTTGGCCTTGCATACGACAGTAGACCGCCTTCAAACCTGGATGACGAGGATTTTACAACATCTTCGTTACAGCTTCCGCGGTCCAAGCTTCGCGAAACGTTTACTAAGTCGTCTTTCCAGCATATTTCTCCTGAGATGCTTGAGCTCAAAGTTTCTCTTTCTTCTTGGGCTAATGAGAAATTTTCCATGCTGAATTATCCCGAAATTTTAAATTTCGGGACGAAAATAATGGCTGCTTTAAATGCTCTCCCGACTTGGGGCTCAAGTTCCGACAATGCCTCTGCTAACCATACCAGAACTTGCACTCCTTGGAAGATTGCGTGCTCATTGCTCGAAGTTGAGCTTTGTACTATGCTGATATTGCTCCACGCTAATACTGCTCGAAAAGCCAACTTGAATCCACAGTTTGGATACTCACTAGTAATGACTTCTAGAGCAGCAGAGAGAATTTTTGCATGCTATTCCGACTTGGCATCAAATGGCAGTATTCACTTTTGCTTGCTAAGGGACGACCTATCCAGGGCTGCTCTACATCTATCTTATGCACATTTCCAATCTTCGTCTATAGAGAGTAAGCTGATCATATACAAATTTTTCAAGAAAACACATGTACTAACGGTTAGACTCTTTCTCACTTCTCAAACTACCAAACCCTGATATATTGGTGCTTGAGAATGTCTTAAAAATAGTTGAGGCAAGGATACTATCTGTCGGTCGAGGCTTCCATCACTACGCTCTCATTGCATCTGCATTTGGCTTTATGAAGGCATCGATATCGCCCGAAAATTCCGATCTTGAAAGGCAAAATATAACTCAAAGAGTGACTCTTCTCATCCAGAGAATTCTTGAATGTCAATCAGATGATTTAAATTTATTGCCCTCAGTGGAGGTGAGCAAATTACTAAGAGGGTCTTGAAACGAAGAAAATTAGCTAACAACAAGTAGGGTCCCTTGGAGAGGGGGAATGGACCATCAGATGGCCGCAACCAAGATGATTCTTTCCTTAATCAAAATGCTTCTGAGCTCGCTGTAAGTGATCAATTTGATAGTGCCCACCCTTTCCAAAGAGCATCGCTAACTATAGGCAGATCAACTCGACCACAAATGATCTGTCAATTAATCCATTTGAACAAATTGAGTTTTCCGGATGGGACTTGGACAATCTCTGGATGTTTGACTGGCCAGATTTTTAAAGTAGAAGTATAACCGGTCAATATATGTAATTTATATGCGTCTTACAGCCACTCAATATCTCCTTACCGCGGGTTTAGAGCATCTTTGTGCTCATGCTAATTGACCAGCTATAGCATATTGAAATTATCAGTCAGCAAGACCCAACAAGCTCCATATTATAAGTCGGTTCAAGAGAGGAGTGTAGATTCTATCAAACAAAGACCTTGTATATAACTTGCAAAATACCACATCGAGCTATTGTCAAGGCTGTACTGATGACGGTATGGTGTAAAGCAGTTGTATTTAAAGATGCTAGATTATCATAAAGGAATGGAGAGCGAGCAGAGAAATTTTCTCGACTAATTCATAACCGCTTCAGCGATAAGTTACATAACGTACATTGAACAAAAGAATTTTTGGAGAGCCTGGAGAACAAAAATAGATCTGCATAGATCTGCTTAGACCGGCGGGAAGCCATTCCGAACAATCTGCTTCCACCATAATCCATTCATCTCCTTCAACAAAAGATGTCTCCTTATTTCAACACGGCCAAGAGGATTCCATCATAACTTTTCGAGCTGACCATTTGAACCACAACACCGTCAACTTTGGGGTTCTCTCCTGCGACCTCAACAGCATGTCTAGAGCCTGCAACTCGTTTGTCACTCAGAAATTTCTCGGTTACAATGGTACCGCCAAGGACAATGTTATCGACAATGATAGCTGCGCCAGGCAGGCAGAGTTCCACTGACGGGTTGAAGAAACTCCAGTTGACTTCCATGTCGGCGTCAATGAAGACGAATCCGAATCTTGGCCGCTTCTGTTGTTCAATTTCTGCATGAAGCGTTTCGATAACTTTGGTAGCATCTCCGACCAATACCTCGACTCTGTCGGACAAACCAGCAAAGCGGATGTTTTCGCGGGCTACTTCGGCAGTTTTGGGGTCAAGTTCGACCGTTGTGACATGCAAGTCGGGATTTTCGCTAGCCATCCAAATGGAGTTGTAGCCGCCCAGGGTACCGATTTCGAGAGCATGCTTGACTTTGGCCATGCGGCATTGAAGTGCCAAGAATTTGCCTTCGCAGGCAGAAACCGCAATATCTCGTAAACCATGCTCTCGAGAATTTTTCAATGCATGTTTGAGTGCAGCGGAATTTGGTCGAGATGAAGGATGCAATTGAGATAGAGTGAAAGAATCGACTGCAGGCCACCTCGGGTCTTGGGTTAGGGCCATTGCGACCAATGCAGCGGTATCTGTTTGTTGCGACATTTTTAGGAGAGATTGATTGTTTTTTTTTTCTGGTAATTGAAAGATGATTTATTTGATCTTCTTCGAAGGGAGCGTTCCTTTAAATAATGGAGACATGCTTGAGAGGCTCGGAAATATTTCTATCAGGCAACGAAGCTCGGGCATTCACCCTCGGCGTTAACATCGATATCCGAGGGTCGAGAGGAGAAGCTGACAGTTTTCGAACCGCAGGAGTGATTAAACTATACGCACAAGGGAATACACAATAGAATCCCGCATCGTTCCCGAAGGTGACCTTGCAAATCTTGTTGGGGATGTCGGTGGTCATGCAACGTCCCTCTCGGCGCTCCCGGCAATAGCCTCGGTGATCGAGATAAGATGGGGGGACTATTTTCTTACTTCCCGTTTTGGATTAGACCTCTGTTATCTGATGCCGGTGATGTCAGTGCTTGGGAACAATTACGGCCTGCAACTTTCAGACTATTCCTCTTCATATATTATTATGCATAATATTCCGCAATGTCAGAAGGTCAGGCCATCTATACTTCTGGTCACCATGATTCCGTGCTGGCGCTCTCACCGGTGGCGCACTGCACAAACTCTGCTGCCTACCTTCTCAAGCACCTAAGACCCGGTATGCACATTTCGGACGTTGATGCGGCCCGGGGACTATTACCCTAGATTTTGCTTCAATGGTACCGGGTGGACGGGTAGTTGGGCTTGAAAATGAGCCATCTGTTCTCGAGCAGGGTCGGGCCGCGGCCGAGGAAAAGGGGATCCGAAACGTTGAATTCGTCGTTGGCGATGTATTCTCGTTAGATTATCCAGATAATTCTTTTGATGTTGTTCATTGCCATCAAGTTTTGCAGCACGTTGGCGATCCAGTTGCAGCCCTTCGAGAAATGCGTAGAGTAGCAAAGCCCGGTGGACTTGTTGCTGCGCGCGAAGGAGATTTCTCGACAATGACGTGGTATCCAGACAACGAAACACTCGGCTTCTGGAAAGATTTGTACATTCGTCTCGCACGTGCAAATGGTGGAGAGCCCGATGCGGGGCGTCGACTTCATGTTTGGGCCAATAAAGCCGGCTTTGACTGGTCTGAGCTTGATTCGTCATCAAGTACTTGGCTGTTTCGACATCCAGATGATCGTCTATGGTGGAGCTCCATGTGGGCAGATCGAACCGTTGCGTCGCGCTATGCTCAGGGTAGGATCGAGCGAGGCTTTGCCACCAAACAAGACCTTGACAGGATAGCTGACGAGTGGAGATCCTGGGGTCAGGGCGAAGATGCTTGGTTTACCTTTGTACATGGAGAAATTGTGTGTCATGTTCGATAATTACCACCCTTTGTGGCATCAAATCACTTAAAACGATGCGACCGTCTCGGAATTATGTTGGTCTTTGCGCAATGTCAATAGATAAAGAGCATCTTTTTGTACATAACGTGATAAAGAGTTTCTCTTCCTTCGCTGCTGCATCCTCAATCGGCGACTTCATGAACCGGACCATAGCCGGGAATTGCCTTGATTTCTTTTTGATCATGGGTTGTTACTGATTTACAAGAGAAAAATGCTATCTATTGTGGTATATGTGATGAGCTAAAATGTGAGTCCGAAATTACTTTTTCGCCACTTTTATATAAGAAAGGGATATCCCCAAGAGGATTATTGAAAACGCCGAATAAAAATCACCAAAGAATGTTGAGCTTCCTCCAGCCCTTCTTAGGTTCTTCCGGAGGCTCTGGGTTGTCTTGGTAAATCTCAATAAACCTCCGTATGGGCATTTCCTCCAAGCTGACCATCTTCGTCTTTCTAAAGACTTTGTACCCGAAGTATAGCGCAAAGATGAGTGGGATATTGAAGTAATTAGACACGAAAGTTTCCGCATCCCATCTGTAAATTATAGTCAGCTAAACAATCCCAACAAGAACTTAATTTCAAGGCCCTAGACTTACTCTCCGTGAAGAAATACAGTGTACCCTCCGGTCAGCAAAAGTATAGTAAATGAGACGAGAGCAACCCAAGTCGCATATGGCTGGAAAGGTGACTTCCATGGCAGCTCATCTCGGCTGATATTCTGCTTCTTGCAACCGTAATAGAAGCGGAGATAGACAATGGCAATGATGATCCAGTGAACATATGTCGCGGCAGACACCAAGTCTTGGAACCAGTCAAATACAGTAGACGCTGAGTCCTCAAGGGTCATGTATCCCAGAACCATGAACAGACCGATAGAAAGAACAGCCACGTAAGGGATTCCAAAGCGGCTGGTCCGAGTAAAGATTTTGGGCGCATGTCCTTCTCTAGCAAGACCATATAGCACTCGTGAGCCTCCCAACATTGCTAATTACGGCTAGTTAGCAAAAGAATTTCTGATCGAGTCTGCAGCAGAAAGGTTTACCGGAGTTTCCAGCGCTCCATGCACTCGTGAGCACAACGGCGTTGATGATACTAGGAACGACATGAATGCCGGAGCTAGACGCCGCGAGGACAAAAGGCGAGGCGGAAGCGTCTCCAGCACTTTTAGAGAGTCCTGGGTCATTCGAAGCCACGACGAGAGAAACAACAAACATGGAGGTAACTATTGCAAAGAAATAAGCATTCGACCATAAAAAGATGGTTTTAAGACGGGAGGAAAGCATACTATAAAACAACAAAACTCTGACGAACACGCGCTTGGCAGCTTTGGGGATGTTCCTCCTAGGGTTTTCCGTCTCGGCAGCAGCGACGGAAATATTTTCGACGTTTGAGAAGGAGTAGACCGCACTGCCCATGACACGCCAGAAACCTAGGAATTGCCCCCACGAGCCGGATATTCCAAGATATTGGACAAAGGGTCCAGGATTTTTCCAGTACTGAAATCCCAACCGGTGACCTTTCGGGCCACCACCCAGATCGACGACGATGCCCTGTTCATTGTCAATACCCGAAAACATAAGAATGGAGAACTACATACCATAATGACGGATCCAACAACTAACAAAATCTTCAAAATGGCGCAGATAAATTCCAGTTCGCCATAGACGCCCACGAAGAACATATTGCTGACTAGCAGTAGAAATCCAAGAATGGTAATCCAGACCGCGTTATTCACTTGCTCGGTCCAATATCTAATGATTACGGCACAAGCCACCATCTCCGATGGCAGGAGCATTGCCGTAGCATATGTGGTATTCCATCCTTGTGCGAATCCCAGGGCGGGGTCAAAAAAGTATTCGGCGGGACGAATGATGCCACCGCTGAGAGGGACAAGAGCGCTGTTATCTTTAATTTAGCAAGGCAAAGGTAAATTGGGAAGACATGACGTACCTCAGCTCTGCAATAGCAAACACAATAGTAGAAACCAAGAGTCCTACAACGGTATATGCAATTCTATTCAAACCGTTACTATCAAGCTCTACAGGGGTTGATTAACCTCAGATACGGTACTCACACTGTGCCGACAGGTCCACCTCTTGCAATTGCTTTTCCGGACGACAGGAAAAGGCCCTAGAACCTATCAACAAGTTTTTCTGAATCATCGTGGATTGAAGAACATACGGTACCAATGGTACCAGCAAGGGCTATCATCTGGATATGCCTTTGCTTCAGACCTCTCCTGCAAATATGATGAGTTTCTGTGCAATCCACTAAATATCAAACCAGACCACTAACTTTAGATCGCTGACTTCGCCGAAGCCTTCTCCCGGTCGATCATCCTTTTCATCTGTCACAGCAATTCCAACCTCCACATCTGCCATGGGCTCTTTCTCCAGAGACGGCGGCTTTTCGGCCATTGCAATGGCCGGATTGTTGACCGAAGAAACCATTGCCAGTTGCTATACAGTCGGTGCGACTTTGCACTGGGTATACGCGGTTTTTCACAAGAGGTATCCATGATTAATTCGAGAAATTGTTTCTTATTTATTTGTCCATGCTGTGGGGTAGGAATAAGGCCGGGGAGAGAGAAGCTCAACCACAGTGGGTCCTGATCCGTTGGAGTAATCGGGAGAGATCAACATGAGGAAAGCCGGTATCGGGAGAACCATAGTTAATGACTCCTTGGCCAGGACAGAATCGTCCTCTATTGTGGTAAATATCCTGAGAAGAAACTGCACCCGATCGTCTTCACAGATAGGTAACCACGCGAAGTTCTTTCCGAGGAAGCGGGAGTCTAACCAGTTAGCGCCCACAGGAGTGTGAAGTTCAGATCTTCTAACTGGCCAAACTCTGGATATGACTTGCGCAGACTCTGGTACTCATTTGGTCGGTCCGGCTGGTTTTTTTCGTGAGTGGCTGTTTCGGCCATTTCTTATCGCTTTAGTTCCCCGCTCTCCCTTCTGGCCTGTCAACCCTGGCCGAGATGGGGAAAGGGGACGGCGGGCTCTTATCACAACGGCCTTATACCTGTAACTCTTTTCGAGAATAACTTAATCCCAACGCCTCCCGCCAAGCTCACTAGATATTTCCAAGTGCCAGAAAAAGCCTGTTAGCTAGCGGCAACTCTCATTCTGACAAGCAATGACAAGCATTGCTCCGTAATGGACAGGTATATCAGCGGCCAGCCAACGATACGAGGCCACTAGTGCAGACGACCCGTCAATTAGTGACAAAATTCTTTTACAGATCAACGCTGCTCAGACGATAATGATTCGATCCAAATGCATTCGTAAATCTGTTCGCAAATGTCTTTCTACTTGGCCGATGAGCAAAGTTGAGAAGATCGGCTTTTACTTAAATTTGCCGATGCACAAACTTGGCCGTCCAGATCGACATTTATCATTGAAACATGTCAGCCATGAGCATAATTTCAAACGAATTTCTATTTCTTAGAAACTAGTTCTAGTATTCTGGAAATGGAATCAAATCCAGTGGATGAATTCTTACGGCGTCAAAATAAATTAGAAATAGTTGGCACAGGTCTTATGTCTCAAAGCAGTTTGCTTTTTTGACTTGAAATAATATTCGAACGGTTCCCTTTACAAGTACTCATAAGGCCCCTTCTGCAATGAGAGAAATCACAAAGGCGAACTTCTGCACCAAGCCTGGCGCCCGTTGATAAACGGCAGAAGACAATATTTAAGTATGGAAGCCAAGAGCATATCATACTCAGGTCGGACTGCCTTCCCAACACTAACCACGAGATGATCACTCCCGCAAGTGGACAAGATGCAGATACCGAGGTGCAAACTTTCATAATTGGTTCTCGGGTGAGTAGTATATAGACCTCAGTGTTCGAATGTGATGAGCGATAGCAACCATTCATGCAGACAATAAGAGGGAACAAGCAAAAAGTATTGAACCCAAAAATGCAATGTGCTTTTGATTGCTTTCAATTATGGTACAATGCCAAAGTCTAAAAATACAAACCTCCAATCAAAAACCGCTTCATAACAGGCCGACCTTTCGGCCCTTCATGGTATCCGAGTTGTTGTACACAACTTCCCAGTCAATCTTATCCCACCACGCCTCCAAGAAGGCACGCTTTCCTCCAATACCCCAGTCCCGGAGCCAGACGTGTTCCCACGTGTTTACGCAAAGCAGCGGGGTAAGGTTAATACCACCCGGCGCAGGTTCGCGTGGCTGTCCACTGGCGGAGCCAATCTTGCCAACCTTATTCTGTACGGTGGTCTGTCTTGCGTAATCAGCACCGCTCAGTCCACCGGCACTTTCTATTGACTGATTCGTCATGTCGACGGGTTGCCGCCGCCAGTGTGCTCCCGGATAGGGCGAACCCGCGAGATAGGTCGTTAGAATGCGGAGTTGATGATCCTCGGTCTTCACCAACCAGACAAATCCGGGACCGAACATGGCATTTGCTGTGGCAATGAACTCTTGGCGGAAAGTCTCGACGGAGGAGAAATCTTCCGCCAACTTATCGGCGAAGGGTTTGGGAATGATAGTTGACTTGGGAGACTGTACATGAACTATATGAGTCTAAAAGTTTCTGCTTGCACGATATGAATGATGAGACGTACAAGGCAGTTGAAAAAGAAGTGATTGTTATGGGCCATGGATGCATGGTTAAACAGCGAGGCCATATCGGACTGGCGGGCGTAGGTGAGGAGAAGGGTTTTCGTCGTCGCATTCTCATCAGGGGTGCCTTTTTCCTCGCATTAGTACGATTCAGTCTATCCTTGCGATCTATTTTTTGACAACAAGCAAGCCCTTTCGGCCTCATCGGTCTGAGAATCTCGACGTACCGCCAGTCAACAAGTTCAGCTTCTCGACCATCAGGCGCTGATACTGGGTCCAGGCGAGATCGAAACCTTCGGCCGAGAAAAGACTCGGCACGCCCTCCGTCTTGAAGGAGGCATCGTGAGTCAATGGCGGGACATGATGGATCCGCCGACACTGAGGCGCGGACGACGAGATGATGGGTCTCTGCTAACATTTATGCTGCGGTTAACGATACGCTTCATTGGTTGCGAACGTAAGTCTGCAGAAAAATGCAACTAACAATTGAAGGATTCAGGGCCCGGGGGGTTGCCCTTGTGAGACGTTGTAATAACATATTGATTGGGACTCAATTGGACCGGAATCAAGTGGATTGTTCGGCGGTCGACCACTTTCCTCTTGATTCCCAAAATTCGTGATGATCGGGAGCGAAGGGACCATTAACCACCGACTCCCCCAGAGCCGCCCATTTTGATCCAAAACGGTTAGCGCCCAGGTCATCCTCCAATCATGTGCGTTTATTTCATCTGTAGGCTCTGTTGTCCTTCAAAGGTGAGACTCTCCTAACAACATCTTGCAACCGCCAGGCTATTTTGATTGCATTTTCTTTGCATATATGCGCCCATGTAGTTTTGTTCAGGGCGCATGGCTGTCCAACTTGCTCGGACTTCGCCTTGAGCGCTTCGCCAAACGTCTAGATTGGCAAGGAGATGTCCGCTGACGGATACTATGACACGCGCGTTGACTTTCCCATTTCCAAACTTCAAGCTGCTCGATTACTGCCTGACTTTTAATACGAGCAGAATGTTAAATGTGACTAAAAATATGTCAAGGATTTCATGAATACATCCCTCTCATCCGCCACAGGGTCTTTGAGATTCATATTGTTGCTTTCCTTGACAAAGCATCTTTTTTTTTCCCTGCAACCTTCCGGTGTTCTATTGAACGTCTCGATTCAACGCGCTCTTGTTTATTTTATCTTTGTGGATCATATTTGATATCATCAAGAATGCTGAATATATCTCAAACTCTTCTGAATGCGCTTCTATCAGGATATCTTGTTGCCACATATCTCCCTATAGTCCATGCTCTGGATGCAAAATTATATCTCGCAAAAGCTCAAAATTTTGGTCTCTCTCCCAGAGCCTCCGACGGCTGTGCCGACTCCTCATTCACCCAGTGTCTAGGCCATAATTTCCCAGCAAACTTTTGTTGTCCTTCTTCAACATCGTGCTTGCCAATAAATGGCGCAAAAACCATCATCTGCTGCCCGGTTGGGCAAACGTGTCAGTTCATTCAACCGATAACCTGCAATATCCAACAACAGAATGCAACAGCGCACCCAGAAAATTACATCAAAAGCACAGATCTGACGTCTACACTCAAAAAGTGCGGCACAGATTGTTGTCCAGACGGATATTCCTGTCAGAATAATATATGTCTCATGGACAATGGTTCTTCGCCAGTCTCGTCCGGCTCGCCCACTTCCACTGCTTCACCAACAGCTTCGAACGGAGTACCTAATATAGGAGGCGCCTCGAATGCAAACTGCAATGCATCGAATTCATCCTCTTTACTTGGTGAAGATCGCAACTGTCCTTCTTTTCCCGGAAGGGCGGTCGTTGCGGGATTCTTTCCTGGAGCAATAGCCGGTGCGCTTGCCACAGCGATTGTGTTCTTCTTACTGGCCAAGCGACAACAGCAAAAAGAGCTGGCTCAAAATGGAGAGGACAGAAAGACAATTTCGAAGGTCTCTCCGCCCATGTATGAGCAACGGGAGACGTATCGCACGGATTTCTTACGGCGAGCATCTCGAGCGCCTGGAGTTTCCCGCGCGCGTTCTCTATTTACTCGATCTCCGGTGATAGGTACACCAAAATCAAGCACAAGCCACAGTTCACGCAGACAGTTTGCGGATGAGGAAAGACACACTCCAACAATACGGCGACTGTCAAGCACCGAGTCCATAGATGTTGTGCTCTCGCCTCCGCCTCCTCTGCGAGTAAACGGAGGCCTCCGCCCTCCGACGCAGATGACAAGCCACACAACATTCACAGAGATGATGACACAGGCAAGATATAACCGTGGTACGATGCAGCACCGGCCACCAATCTCAGATACTCATGGAGATACCTACTCTGTTGGAGGTAGAATTTGACCCGTGTTTCGGTCTAGCAAATCTTGGAGTGGAGCGGCGTTGTGCAAGGTCTTTCAACGGTGAACTGGTGTTTCTTGTATCTGAAAACTGTATTTCGAAATTATATGCCGTACATTTGAGCCCAGGGAGTTATTGCAGTAGATAATTGGGTTGGTGTCGACTTCGCTCTAGTAATCTATACAGATCATCTAAAAAAAAAAACAGGAATCTAGCGCAGCATGCACTCCGCTTCGGCCCTTCTAAAGGCGCCGGCAAAAAAGTCTTGCATGGCGAGATAGTGAAAGAAAATGCCTCCAAGAACAGCAAAATGCCAAAGATTATGGCTGCCTCCGAAATAGTCGAAGAATCCAGGCCACCATCGCTCAGGAATTTTATGCGCGTATATGAGAGCCCCGAAAAGGTAAACGAGAATGCTTTTCACCACAGGTGCATAGAAGTAAATGGACCAGGCCCAGCCGCGAGTGACGGTGAGTTGGAAAAAGGGAAGGAAGCCAGTAGCGCCCAGAGAGACATAAAATGCTACCCTGGCCCAGCTCATATCTGCTCGGTTGAAGGTTGGATGCCATGGCAGAATGACACCGCCGACACCCAGGGTCGCGGTGGTGAGCATGTAGCCCCAACGACTCATGGGCTCGCAATAAAAGGCGGTATATTCTGAAGTCATGATAGAGGCCGCGATAAGAAGTGAGATACCGGTATAATCCACGCAAGCAAAGCGTTCCATCAGTTTTTGCTCTGCAATACTGTTCATCGTATGCCACATGGTACTGCAGACCAAGCATTTGCAAGCGGCAAAGAAGAATACCGCTGCAATGAAGACATCCGATTTGGTGCTGAGAGAAAAATTGACATGCATCGGGTAAAAGTAAAAGGCAATGGCAAGCACTATCATGAGGCCGATTGCATGAGACCAGATGTTGACTGACTCATTTGATATACGAAGAACAGAGCGGACGCAATCGATTTTCGTCTCGGTGAAACGATAACCTCGAAGGATGTGCGGGTTGACGCGCCATGGCTCCGGAAGATCCTCGTACTTTATCAATCCGTGTTCGCGCGCGCGTGTGATTGCATGTTCCACTTTTTCTGTCAGGCTCTCCTTGGCTCTCCATGCTCGTTCGATACCTCCATCTACGACCCCTTTTGCCATTTCATATCCCTCGTCAAGCCGTCGCCGACCCGAATCCATGAGCTCGCCGGCAACCGTACCGAATCCAGCATCGCGCATTGCGTATGCCCGAGATTCAAAGTCCGCAAGGGTAGCTTCCATAAGATGTATAGCAGTCAAAGCCTTGGCTTCCAAAGTCTCCTTTGTCGCCAAGGCATCGTTATATCGGTCCTCTAGGGTCTCAACGAGGACCTTTGCGCGCCGCTTTCCTGCATCCAACACTTCTCCTGACACATGAGAGCAGGCATCTCGAACCGCCTGGAGGGTGGAATAAGCACTCTTGATTCCCGTGTCTAATTTCAAGTTTCCGTAATTTTCAAGGAAATCGAGTCTGCGTTCTAATTCAACTAGGAATCGCTCAACCTGGAAGGCCCACGTGTTAGTCTCCGCGTGTTAGCAAATGTGGCTCGGCTTTCCATGACTGACTTTGAGATGAATATTATCATTGTCGATCAACGAGGATAATCTTCGTCGTGGGTGATATGAAGAGTGCCGCCTTCTCTGACAAGCGTTTCTGTTGGGCTCGCTGCCAGAACTCGTCCCGACGACGGGCTCTTCGTACGACTCCACAGCCATGGAGACAGATGAACACGCCATTGAAGCAAAATGGCTCGTTCGAGCACAAGCTGACCAGGTAGCGGTGGCCAAAGGTGGAACCCTTTATCTAAGGTCGCCACAAAACATCTCCAACCGTCGAGGAATGGAGTGGGGTGGCTAAATGCGTAGAGCTGGTAGGCCGAATTGGAGAAGAGAAGGGAAGTAGGGAAGCAATGTGGATTCAATGCGAATGAAGAGTGACGACTATTGCACGTGTGGAAACAAAAGGCTTTGTCGTAGGAGAGAGACCACGTGGATAAAGGGAATGGCTGAACGAGCGACTGGGAATGCACTTTCTTTCTGGTGGGGATTGAGGAGGTTTAAACTGGAGGGACAACGGGGGGGAATGGGGGATGATGCTAATACCAGGGTGGACGAGCCGAATAACTTAGTACTGATACTTGTCTTGATACCACGTTTCACTCTCAAAGTCTGATATCTTAGAAGTAAGAGTACCTTTCTCGCATTTGCCGCCCGAAGATCTTTACCCTACTTGAGCTTTTCTTTCACATGTACAGCCAAATCCAAAGACACCAACTGCTAAAGGTGGTTAGCTATAGTTATAATACGAGAAAAATTAGGGACTTCTTCCCCCATACAGTAGCCCTCTTTGCTTTGCCGTCCTTCCCCTGGAGGTGACCCATCGAGATCTTTCGACGACCCTTTTCACCTGAATCTGTGTCCCAATCAGATAACTCTCTTTAATCGCCAAGGATCTCGTCCGCCTTATCACATCACATTCAACGGAACCTTCCTATTGGGTAGAGATCCTACATCTCAAACGGGCCACACAGAGTCGATCACCCTACACGGTTTCTGGGCCCTTCAAACTACGATAACTGTGCACTCCAAAGCTCAACGAAGGGGATAAATATGGCCACGACCGATATTGTGTCAGACCCCTTTTTGCGCTCCGTCTTGGATGTTTCGACGCACACTCGAGAACAATGCATGCGTCTACTTGATCTCGCAGATGCCAATCCCACGCCCGCCGATGCTGAAACCGCTTCCACCGATGTCCACTTGCAGCTTTCACAGCAGCAAAAGGTGCTATACTCCCATTTAGCACAACTGAGAGGTCTCAATCGCAATGCGATCCTAGGCGTTCGGCAAACCAAGCAAGCAACAGCAGAAGCAAGACAAGAGATTGACAAGCTCCATCTGCAATTGCAAAACCTATACTACGAACAAAACCACTTGCGTGGAGAGATCCATGCTTGCGAATCATACGAGTAAGTTGCTGCTGGCTGCCAGGATGATAATGGACTTTTCACATCTAACGTCTGCCAAGTCACAAGTATCGCCAATTGCCTCTTATTCCGGCAGAAGAATTTCTCCAGGATCATCCCGAACATGCAAACGATGACGAGAGCGCTTTGATGATTGCACGCATCAACCATGAATACGCTGAACGGCAAGCTCTTGAACAAGCCCGCCAAGCTTTGCTGAAAAAGAAGCAAGGTCTGATCGCAGATAACAAGAAACGCAAGGACAACCTTGCAAATCTGGATAACGACCTTGAGAAATTCATTGATGTAGGTTGCTCTATTCTACAAGAGAATATTTATAAGCACAGTGTTTGACATTTTCTTCTCAGGCTGCCAAACCCATACAAAAGACATTCGAAAAAGAGTACTAGACATGGTTTTCAGACACACTTTGTTTCCACATTTCATGGCATACCCATATTAAAGCGCGGCGTTCGGTGCCTTTGGTTCAAATTCATTAAGAAATACATTGGAGAAAACTGGGACTTTTACCTAGAAATTCGCGGCAAATACGTTACTTCAGGAAAGATATGTTGAAAACCAATCAACGCCTTGCTGCAACGCCTCGTCCATGGCCTTTTTATCCTTATCGCTGCTCCAATCACCTCGAAGTGTAAACCCATGTACTTGGTCCTCATATATTCTGATTTCGTGAGGAAGCTCGGTCTTTACTGCAAGTGTATCAATGATTTTTCCGACAGTGACCTGATCCACAAGACTATCTTTATCTCCAAAGGCCAGGCTGAGTGGCTTGTTCACGGGCTCAAAGTCGGCGGGGACAGAGATCATTGATGGATGGCACGCGTAGGCGGCATCCACCCCGCCGTGAACTTTACCAGTAGAGTTTGCTTCAAGCACGGCGTAACGACCACCCCAGCAGAATCCGAGAACTCCCACTTTATTTGTGCCGGGAATATATTTGACTGCATTTATGAAACCATCGATAAGCGGCAATGTGACGGCTTCACGGTGCTTAATGAGCCACGGTCCAAGCACGCTTGTAACGCTAGCTGCCTTTGTCGCTTTTTGCGTGATGCTGAGACCTTCGCGAACGGTCAATGGAGGTTCGACGTCCTGCAAAAACTCCGCTGCGATTGAATCGTTTTGGTGAATGTCAGGAATATAGACGTGGAACCCAGCTTTGGCATAGTTGTCTGCCAGGAGTCGCACGTTCTTGAGCTGCCATCCGAAGACTAGAAATTTCAGCGCTATCAGACAATTTTCCTTCAAATAGTTGGGAGTGGCACGTACCGTCGGTCAAGATGACCACAGACTTGGCCCTGGATTTATCCGCAGTCTCTGCGACGTAGGTCTTCAGTCCGGCCACAGTTTCTTCGTGGCCCGTCGGGACACCTTCATGGATCTTTCCAGACAAACAGCAAGAGCTCATTCCTACTCCAGTTGACATGATGGGCGATATTTAGTAGAAATAATTCTTGTCAATTGACAGCAGGATGGAACTACAAAGAAAGGATATGGTTTATACGTAATGAAGGTGGAATTTCAAGAGCTACAGTACCTAAATATTATCTACTCCAAGGCAGCTTCGTTTGAACCATACCAATTAGGAAGAATGACGTTATGACTGCATTGTTGAGGGGTTGAGGGGCCTTTCTTAGAGTACCGAGCGCCCTAAGAACCGTAACCCAGAAGGGTTTCCTGGCTGAGCTACATGGCTAGAACATTTACAATGAATTATGGTCATGATCGAAATTTAAATATTTTTATCATAATGTTTCAATGGTCTGGAAAATAGTATTGGGAATAGTATTTTAATCTCTGAAATGCCAAGACTTGCTTATAGTATTTGTCCGTCATTTCCTAGTGGTGGATTGTTTCAATGCTTGATATAGTTAAAGCAATGAACGACTCATTTATTTTAGCACAAAAAGGCTTGATAGATAGTGAAGATGCGAGCTCGATAGCAAGGCATTGAGGTCCGTTGATCTGTGTTGTTTGTCTCACTGTCTCCTCTACGCTTGCAACTCTTCATCCTACGGAGGATATAAACATTGCCGGGCAAGGATAACTAATCGGTGGTGCACCTCGGGCGCGGACCCGAGACCGACTCTTGATGAAGATTCTGATCAGCCAACTGTCGGCCGCACCCCCGAGCATAGGTTTCTTCGTCCAGCGGGAGATTTTGGATTTAAATTTAAAGATGGGAGCAGAGGCCTTGAAAGGTACTCGTCCGAATAGGCATTTCATGCTCAGCCAGCCATAAATCCCGTCACTATGCCGTTCGACAGCGACCTCTCCATTGACGCGTCTAGGTTTCATCCCGAGAGCGTCAGCGACGAGACCAGGAAGATCAACGCCTTCCTCACCGACATTACCATCAGGAGTCCGCGATGGTATGAGGTGGGCATCGTCAAGTACCGGCAGATGCACGAAGCGGGCGAAACACCGTTGCCCGCGCCTGTTTACCTACCAGAGGCGGAAGATGCGACGGTGCCCTCGCGCGATGCCGATCGCTTGATCCCGCTGCGCGTGTACCGGCCGGACAATGGCGCGCCTAGTCAAGGCCTACTCCTCCATTTTCACGGCGGCGGCTTCGTTCTGGCGTCGCACAAGCAGTGAGCCTCGCTACCAGTCTAGCCCCCGTTTCCCTTCATCTATCGCCCTGATATGATAACAAATAATAATTACTCTGTATTAACGTGAACATGTGATTAGCTTCGATAGCACCTTGCAGATGTACGCCAACAGATGCCAGGTCATCGCCATCTCCGTCGGTTATCGACTCGCGCCCGAAAACCCCTACCCTGCTGGCATGTATGACTGTCTTGATGCCGCCGAGTATCTGATCGACCATGGGGAAGAAGAACACGGGGCTCCGCTTCGCTTCTTGGCTGGAGAGTCCGCTGGTGGCTGTCTCGCGGCCCTGACCGCATTCCACTTGATGCGCTCCCGCGCAAGTCACCGGCTAGCAGGCGTGATTCTTCCTTACGGCGAATTTGATGTCTCTTTGAGCTTACCCAAGGTTATGTCTTTTACTGAGCCACTCATGATCAATTTTGCCGCCCTGCAGCGGTTCAATGATGCATACGCTCCTGGCATGAGCACGGCTGGGCGCAAACATCCTCGCGTGTCGCCATTATATGAAGATATGCAGGCATTGGCCGCGGCGTCGCCACACCAGTCGCTGCCACCAGCACTGTTCCTCTGTGGCACCGAGGATCCTTTGCTTGACGACACGTTGCTCATGAGTGCCAAGTGGATCATTGCCAACGGCGAGGCAGTTGTGAGAGTCTTTTCGGGAGCACCCCATGGGTTTACCTTGCTTGCAGGGACACGGATGGCTGAGGAGGCAGCAGAGCTGATAGTTCAGTTTGTGCAGGAGAAGTTGGCGGCTGCTGTGGCATATTAAAAATTGAAACTGATAGCCTTTGTTGCTGAATCAAAAAGCTTGCCAAAGATCTTCTCATATAAATAATAGAATAGTGCCTCCGTTTGCTTAAAGCGTATAATTATTATCTAGCATAGTACCTAGACCAACTCTTACGACTTCGGAGGTCATTAGCATCACCTTTATTTATAGTATATACTCGATTATTTATATTCATTAGACTTCTTAAGAGATTAGAAAAACATTCAAGCTAATAAGATTACTTTCTCAGCATTAGACTAGAAGGATTGTTTCTTAGATAAATCACAGTCTGTACCTCTATAAAAGTTTTTTATAAGGAGAAAATATAGGGAAAAAAAGAAAAACAGGGCAAAAGGCTTTCCCAACACACCGGCATAACATTAATTAGACGGTCGCTGATTTCCAAACTCCTTATTGAAACGACTCTCAAATTGAGTACTCTCCAAAAAGGCCCGACATTTGGTAGTACATGATTCGTATTGGCTTGTCGAGTAACTGAGTGCCTCCATGGCGCCACAAATGGTTTCCAGGCAGTGCCGAATCTCCCGATTGGTGTTATAAACATTCAACCCGTCCCCTTGAGCACTTTGCTGCAGTGCATTCAGTTCAGTCTCCGCGGCGAGGCTCAGTGGTTGCATGATGAAAAGGCTCATCTCTCGGTACATAGACACCTAACACCCAGATCAATCGCGTATTAGTATTTTGAAGGAAAAGGAGACAAGAGTTACATAGTAAGGAAATCATTGTATACCTTGTTCGGGTTTAGCATGTCAGTCTGCAGTAACACATCGCACATAGCGTTTGCCGTTGAGACCATCATTTTCTGGCTCTCGCCGGCAACGGGACCCAAGAATTGAGCCTTTTGCACATTGCAAATGGCGGCTTGGTATAGAATGATGCGCGCACCAAGCGTAATGATGAGGGTAGGTGCGTGCAGCTCCATGCTTGGCCCGGTTAAGAGTGCAGAGGAGGACAAGGCGGAGAGGATGGCATTGATTTTGGTTTCAATTCTTTCGTGAGCGAGGCAGAAATTGTAGTCTGGGGCACCGGTTCTGGCCACGTTCGCAGCAGTTAAGCGGCGGTGGCTCTCAGTAGTTGCAACAAGATTCATGGCGAGTATAAAAAGAGAAAAGGGTTCGAGTTGGTTGATATTTACATGCGATGCAACATCGGTGGTAAGTGTCTTTTCATCACCTGCGGGACCGCTAGAGTTTGACGGTAATGCAGTGCGGATCTATCATCAAGGTCAGCAGCGATTAATTCCTCTACTGGCTTCTAGCGTACCAAATCAATTTCCATAGGGTTACATTTAGCACAAATGTCCACTGCGTGACAGTGCATCGTAAAAGATATCCAAAAGGTGTATTGCATCTCTTGCAACCTGGCGAAACTCGGGTCTGAGAGTGGCAAGGATGATGTGATACTGTTCTGACCCCTTTGACAATTTCCATTATCAAGGCAATCATATTCCAGCAGGCTAACCAGCTGCATGAGCCGGGCCATGGTGATCAGGGCTCGTTGAGAATTGAATCGGGTGAACTCAAAACGAGCGATCAGGACCAACATTTGTGCTGTTTCAAGATTCATAAAGGAAGAATTATCAATCTGAGTCTCGGCGAGTTCAAGGTGTTGCCGTGCAATTGTGTAGCAATGCTGTTCTAGATTAACCATGTCGCTGCTTGCACCTGCTCCAGACATAGCAACTGCATATTTGAGCCCTTGACATTGATGAAGTTTTGAGGGAAAGGTGGTTTGTAAGAATCGTGATTGATCAATTAATAAGAGGTGCTTTTGTACAATATCAAAATATGCCTGGACGCTTTGGTCATCTATATTAGTCTTAAATTTGTATAACACAAGTATATTGTCCGGGAAGACACTTACAGTTGCTTCATGGTAGCTGGAGATATCTGGCTAGTTGTATTATTAATGCCAGCATATGAATTATGTACTGGCTTGTGGTCTTCTAATAATGAGTCCGGAATCCATGTAGCTACGGGCAAGGGACTCGGACGGCCGGATTCTGATCTATGCAGAGCAGGAAAGTCATAGTGTAAATCATGGTACTCTGGCAGCTCTCCAATCTCAAGAAAATCATCCGAGATACTAAAATCTATAGATGGCTCCCTGTCTTTAATGAGACATGATTTGAAGACAACGGCCATAGGTACAGCTACATACCATGATTCAACGCCTAATGCAGCAGAACCGACCATGTCGACATTATTAATTTGAGTAGGGGTGCTATGGATGCCCCCAGTCGATTCTGAATGAGCATCAGAGATGAAAACTTCTGACGATCGGAGGGGAACATCCTGCTCCTGAAGCCTTGACTCGGCTTGAACTATGTTGACTTCAGCAATGGCTCGGTCTTAGAGCGTTCGGCCCTTTTCCTTTGAGCGAACCCGTTTTCTCATTCCCGTCGCACTTTTTTTCTCTTGTTGACTACAGGTAGTACTTACTAAGACGGGCATGAAGATTTTGCAATGCTGAGTTGATTCGGGACGCCTCACTACTTGTTGATGGATAAGTGCATCTATGGCCGGTTCGCTTGCACCGGCCACATTCAGGCTTTTCCCGGTCACAGCGTACCTTGCGCTCACGACAGTGGTCACAAGTTGTTCTTTTTAACTGGGAAGGATGCAATTCAATCTGCGGACCTTGTTGAGTAGAACTAGATTCCAGATTGACAGCATGGGTGAGTGAAAAAGGCCCTCGGGCATTTGGCTCTGCCATGTGTCGGGCACGAGAATATCGATTCAAGACAGCCCTATCTGCAGAAGTGTTTTCCAATTGCCTATGGCTGAAAAATCATTGCCAGTCGTCACTTGGACGTTGGTTCAACTTATCTCGATGGGCTCGATGGGTGATTAGTAACAGGTCATACTGAAGGCCAGGAATGCCTGTCAAAGCCCGTGTCTTTGCAACCCCAGTAATTATTTACAGGGGGTCATTTCCCTTCCCTACCATCAGCCATTCATGCCCCAACGTACCCGGGAAATATATGTCGTGGCGCCTATCCCGCAGCATATTGCGGGAATAGGCTGTCCGGTCTAGCGTTAATAAGCTTCAGCTCGACCGAGCGAATTCGTGATGGGCGGTATTTAGGATCAATTGTGTCGATCAGCGGCCAAAAGCGAAGAAAAAGGTGCGAGATAACCGACCCCAACGAGGTCGATATACGGAGTATATGCTTCCACCATATAGACCCCGCCAGCTGAATCGACCCGACCGCCTCAATCGCCCCGCTGAATTCGATTGAGCTTCAGTCTCTCGTTAGCTCCTGACACCTCCATTGCCTCTGCAGTCTCAGATTGGGCAAATTGATAGCATCCAACGTGATACAATTGCCATCTTATATGGGATGCAACTAAAGTATCTGATCACTCGTGCGTCTCCTTGTCAGTGTGTAGCCTATTAGCTGTCGTGGTCAAATCGGTTAACTTCTGCAAATCTGCCTCTTTCAGGCACCGGTAAGCTTTAGAAGAGGGGCATTTATCGCCCGCCAAAGCTCATTGACTGTTCATCTCAATGTCTTGGGATCTCAGGGGTCCCAAACGCCACAAGAGTTGGTGTGGTTGCCTTGGATGGCTCTGAATGAACTTGAGGGCTATGGCTACCCAACCTGCCCAACAGCACCAACCGTCCCGCATAGACGAGAAGGGTGCTTGAAGGGATAATGCCTAAAGACTCCAATAGTGCTTGCTCGGCCAGCAATACAGTCCTACTTACATACAAAAGCCGACGTGTCTTTGTTGCACCATCCGTCTACAAACTTTCTTGGCTGGAGCATGCCACTACCCCTTGTCATGGGGGACACATCATGTCTACATGCCAGCGCAATAGTGTCGGCCACTCAGATCTTTGAAGCATATTGGAGCCATCCGTCATCTTTCTTGCCTTATTCTATACCCAATGGCCTGCTTGACTCGATGATTTACGCTCGTCCTTCCGTTACTCGGTCTACTTATCCAGAGATTATTTGCTCTGGGATAGGAGACAGGATTCATCGACCCTATCGAGGAAAGCTCTTCGAGCATCGACGGGAGTCAAACTAGTATATTCACTCCTTCAGAGTCCGGCCTGCTTGAGGTGTTGCGATAGCAATTTGTTGGCTTCCCATATCAGCCACCGAGAATTAAAGTCTTGGAATCAACCTCCACTGTACCATGTCTTGGAATGAGAAGCCTCCATCCCGGGCCCGACCTCTCGTTGATCAGTCGAGTTATGAACCGCAGCGTACTCAACCGCCACTGCAACCGTCTCTGAGGTCTGGATACGTCGAAAACACCATACACTGGCTTCAACTCAATTTCGAACTCATTTAGCTGATTTCTTCAAAGCTCGACGCTGCCGATTCTCAACTATTCCGCGTCCTCCAATTCATGGCCTCAGTTTGGGGTACAGAATCCTCGGATCAGGTAAATACCGGATCGTGCACTATTTTCCATTGCCATTATTACTACTGCTGGCTAAGACTGGGAGTATTTTCAGTCCCGACGGTTTAGCAGTCCGTAAAGGAAATCCGATACCAGGCAGCCAGGCCTCTACGGCGCAAGTGTTACCGTTGACGGACAATCAGCGCCATGGTTACGTGCCGGGCCGTGGTCAAACTCCTTCGAATAGGAAGGGTCTCTCGGATCGTAACTCAAGTTTGAGAAAGGCTCCTCCAGCGATAACATCTCCAGCTCCCAGCGGACCTGCTACCTCTAATCCACCACACTCACTGGTGTCCATGCCCAGTGAAGTATTCAAAGCTGGTCGGAATATCTTGAATCCACCTTCCTTGACTAGATCCCTTGCGGATGAGTTCGCTACCCCTGAACCACTTACAAGCTACAGGGAGGCATACTCTAAAAGGTATCAAAGCAACCGAGATGCATCTGGTCGGCCATATCAACTCCTGGAGTTGCCAGCTCCAGAAATTATGGCTTTGCAAAATCGGGCGCTGCCAAATTTGCCTTTTCACCTTCTCGTCCAAGAGCAAGATGAGATTTTATCCAAAGTTAATGACTTGCTGTCCCAAAGTGCTTTTTATTTCATGGCCAAATATCAATTCCGCATTCCGCTGGAGCCGGATAAGAGACCAGTCCAAGTCTCAGGAGACCGAGAATGGACCGAATGGGTTTTCCTCCTCAAGAGCATGGCTTCGAAAAGACTCATTCCGGCTCGGGTTCTCTATAATGGTCAAATTAAGCAATTTGTGACTATTTTAGAGAACTCCCTGGAAAGGACCAAAACTGGATTGGTTCCGTGATTTCTTTTATTCATTTCTTTATTTATTTATTTATTTCCTTTTTTTTATTATATATTTTATTTTCCCTCGTCCTTTTTATTCTGGATTTGTACTTTTCGCATTTCACAGCTGGAGAATTAATGTAACGCTGCTGGGTCAGTGTGAAGAAACCTTCTTCTTCGCTATAGCCTTGGGAAACGAGTGCCCTTTGCCGGAGTGGAGCATCCCGGGATCTCAAGACTGTAGTCTTTCCGTTCAAGCATTTGGCCTTTGGCTTACCTAGTCCATTGATCAATTTTTAGGGTTGCTTATCCGCCGTGATTCCTCTGATCTGCTTCATTTTTACTCGCTTTTTTTCGGGTCAAGATTGCTTGGAATCTCGGCATGCAAATATAATAGGATACGGTTGGTCTGTATTGTAATTATAGTATTTATTTTATATCAATCCGATGTTGCTTTATTCCATTTTTCTTTCATTTCTTAAGAAATAAAATAATAATAAGACAAATATAAAATCGGCCAAGTATAGAGCTCAAGATCTTGCCTCGTGGTGTTTGTGTTCGGTGTTACTTCCGACCACGGCTTATCAACTTCACATGTGACACGGTTCTTTCATCCTGAAATTGGTAATCTACCCATGGATTTCATTTAATACAACTGCAAGATCACACTCCAAAGGCTTATCTAGACCGCCTGGCTTTTCGCAACATCGTTAATGAAACACGATCTGGTTTGGCAGACCTGGATATAAAATCACATGTACCATGATTGAGTGATGTAATCTGTGCTGTTCCAATATATTACATAGAAGGCAATACGCAATCCCAACATGTCAAGAATGGCCGACTCAGACAGGAGTCTAAAAGTCTGAACCAGTTCCATGTCATAGACAAAGCTATAGTCATTCAATCCTTGTTCAAAGGCGCCTTCCGGCGGCGACCTTTCACATTTCTTCTCCCCATTTTTTTGCTCCTTCGTCCGCTACTTTCCGGCCATGAAAAGCGAGAGAATTTACTGCTTTTTCTTGGTCGAAGCAGAAGTCTTGCTTCCATTCTTGGCGTGCTCCCTCTCAGCCGCATTGATCTGCTCAATCTCCTCGCCCTCCTTGCGCAAAGCGTACCACTGGCCAGCCTGCAGAACCAAGACACCGACCAGGACAAGGGCCATGATGGTGTTGCTCGCAGCAATGACACGAAGGCTGTCTTCGCGACCGATTATATCGCCATCGGTCGCGGTCGCCGCTGTTGGATCGCTCCCCGTCGGGAGGTCCGCTTGGCCATAGGTGCCGTCGGTGACGATGCGCAGACCTTTGACGATATTGGTAATATACACGACCAAAGCCACCATGTAGAGCACGAGCGATGCGCCGTCAAACAGGAGGTTAGCTTCAGAAGGCCTGTAGAGCTTGGCGATGAACCCGAGCAGACCGACGGCAATGACAATGTGCAGAATGCGCGGAATAATGGGCGGAGAAGCATGTACGAAGCGGAGATGTGCTTCGAGCATGTCATAGTATGAGTCGGGAGTGGGCAAGGACGTCCATAATACGGGATAGTCGTAGGGGAAGGATGCGAAGATAAGCCCGAGGAAGAAGGCAGTAGCTGTGAAAAACACATGTTAGCAAATTCAATTGACGAAAACGAGCGATGACTCTGCAGTCCCCAAGAAAAAGGTAGCAACATGACTTACGGCAGAGAATGAGGAATGTTGCGAATGAGCCGGTTCCCTTAGCCATGGTTGCTGATGTTGATCTTTTCACGTTCGTTCACGGGGAAGTTGCTCGTTATCGGTCAGAGTCGCAGACAAATAACAAAAGACAGTGAGAGATGCAAGATGGAGAGGGAGCAAGAACGTTCAAAACCGAGTGTCCTTTGCTATGCTAGATCAACTCCAGACCAGGCAGGGATCAAAGAAGCGGAGGATGATGGGAAAATTGCACAGAGCTGAATCTCTGGTTCACCCAATTGGGGGGAGTTCGCTGGCTCCTTCCGGTTCCGGTAGGACCCTCTGAGAGACGAAATGGGGGAGGGACCCACATTAGCAACGGCATGTCGCAGCAACCTAAAACGAGTTCGTAATATTTATCATCTTATCTTTCTCCCGCCCCGCCGGAAAGGCGCCGATTAAAACATGCAACAACAACTGAAGTGATGTTAAATGGTGATGCAAGACCCAAGCATAGTATTGGCTTAGCATATGATAGATTTAATTAAAGATGATTGTGTAACACTTGAGACAGTGGTATCAGAAAAGACTTTGACATGTTACCCTTGCTTGATGACATATCCCCAGGAAATCCGAATGCCGCCCCATTTAACGCCCATACAATTAATACCAACGCCTATGCCAAACTACCTCTCATACCTTGGAAGATTGTCCCCTGGTTCTCCATAACGCCCATGAGAATGACCATTGTCGCTATTCGCACCAAACATGTAATCGGAATCTTCAGGCAAAACTGGAGCACTAGGCTCCATCTGCCTTGATCGCTCTTCATTCGCAGCGCGATCGTCTGCGCCGTTCCCACTTCCACTCTCGTCATCTGGGAAATCGTCAGGAGCGCTGGCCTCAGCCTGTAACCTCCGACGCTCAATTTCGTGCTTATCGTCTGTTGCAGTCGGGGTCGTGGCTTGGGCGTATTCATCGTAGCCTGGAGCACTGAAAGGCTCCTCGTGGGGAGGGTGCATCTCATCCAAGCTCACTGGCGGCATGGAGGGCCCAGCGAAATAATCGTCTTCACTGAAATTGTACTGTTCAAAGGGGCGAATATCCGGATGATGGAACATGTCAGGTGCGGACGGCTCAACGTCTTGGTGAGGCGCACCTGCGCGTTCATCAAAATCGGACGGCTGGCTTGGAAGCAACCTAGCCTCTGCTCTTCGCATACGCTCTTTCTCATCTAAACCATCTTCAAATTCTGCGGGTATTGGCGTTGGTACAGATACCTCATTTGGATCAGATTGAGGAACGTCAAGAGGTGGAGGTGTTTGCTGGTGGCTGTGCGAGTCAGCTATAGTTTCGACAACGCCATCCTGGGAGCTCGTCCGTCCAGGCATTTCCCAATCAAACCCTTCTTCGCCATCACGCCTGCCGTCAGAGTTATCACCAGGATGATTGGCTGATGTTTGCTCTTCCCACTGCCGTTGTCGAGCTGCTTCTCTCTTCTTTTTATGTCGCTCCGTATCTTTTGTCCCCACTACAACTTCAAAAAGACAGGATACGACACTCTTCTCACGGCGGATATGGTCAGTATCTACTATACTGCCCGCCCAAGCTGCAAGGGCTCCCCCTGTTGTATCTTCCGCTCTGCTCAGTCCAGGGCTGCTGCCTCCTGTGCCCAGAGGAACGCCTATCATGCCTAAAGGCGGCATAAATCTTTCTTGGCCAGCAAGTTTGCCGCCAAGATCCAGAACTACCTCAATATAATATTTGAAACTCATGATCCCTCCCGGAACTGATATGGTGGGAAAAGCATCCTCTGGGACCCTGACAGAAGCCTTGATGACGGCTGTTAATGTACGAGGATCCACTATCAAAGGCGCAAAGGTTTGAGAGAGATCCTTGCGGAACACACTACTATAGTTTGCTGATGATAACGAGAGTCCACCCAGTCCTGTTTTGGATTTTGGAAAATATTCATCGTGTTTGACCTTGTCAGCCTCTTTACCTGAAAACACCAGGGGCGTGTCAGGCTGAGGATCAATGCGGCCCTGACGATATAGAGTAATTATGACCCCATGAAGGCTTTTGACAGGTTTAGTATGATTTATTGTGATCCTGACCGGCAGCAAATCCCCCCGAAGACATCCTCCCTGTAGAAGCTCCATAGTTGCAGTAATCGTCTTTTCCAAGACAGATGAGCCGCCGTTACTTTTAGTAGTCTTCCCCGACGACGGTGGGAGACCAGGGACGGAGCTTCGAGTACTGTTGCTGACAGTACTTTCAGAATCCAGTTCACTAGGTGACGCGGTCTGCGAAGTCCTATCTGACTGCGATAAACTCGAAGTTCCGCTCTCTTGACCGGGTCCAAGATCGGCAGTGGATGTGCTCCTCTGCTTCCCCTTTGCAGCTCTGGAAGAACCCTTTCTTAGGCTACTTCGTGTCTTAGATCGACGGGAGATTGGCTCCAGAGAAATAACCCTTGGCTTGGGCTGCTTAATGGGCGCGATATCGATGGAATCGACAAGGTACACTTTGCGATCGCAGGAAATAGTTGGGGCTAGTGCAGTAGGGCGTGTTAATGTGGCAACAATATTATAAGTGATCGTTCCTCGTTCAAACTAGGGGTTTTTCAATGTTAGAGTGAACAGAAATGGACCTCGGACAAATTCTGGGATACACTTACATCCAAACTAGTTGGCAGACTTCTTTTTGGAAATTGCAACTCAAATTTAAATTCATAGAGTCCCACATCCAACCGACCCTCTCCACAGAGCACAATCTCGTCTTCAAAAAGAGATGCAAATCCGTTGTTAACATATTCTACCCCTTTCTTGCTTCTCCCGGCCCCCAAATAGCCGTAATCATTGCCAGTGCTATGACCTGGGGTAATTGCATTCTTGAATACCTTGGCGTAACCGTGGAGGCATACGACTAGGTGCGTGATTCGAACGGGTTTTATGACGGTCAAGGCAACAGTTCCCTTGACAATATCCCCGGGGTTGTATTGACGATGCGGCTCTTCCGTCGCAATATGGAAGTCCACCAAGGTGCGGGTCTTTGAAGTGAAAGTAGAAGCGAGGCGGGTCAAAATCGATCGACCCTGAAAAGAAGAATCTCGTGGCAACGGCGACGCAGAGCCTAGATACATTTTTCGTCGTGCTCCATCCAATACGAAAGCGTATAGAGACTGAAGAATGCCAATTGATGTTGCGACACTGTCTTAGATACTGTATCGAGTCTTGTAATTGTAATGCTCCACCAAAGCGCAAGTCCAATATGAACACCCACCAGCAGCGTTTTGTGGCTGAGCAAGTGTTCCCAATATCCAGGAGAAGCTGAAGATTCGATGTACATTGGATGATTATGTGAATGCCATGTCCCAGGTCTCAACAAATAACCGTCATGATAATTATAGCACGTTCCCGAATTGTATATCTTGCTCGAAGACCGACGGGAATAGAAGTGCTGGCGGAGATTGATCGAGGCCTGGCGAGGGTGATGTTTTCCCCGGGATAAATCTGATTGAACGCAACCGGGATGATTTCAACGCTGGAGAGGCTGGAGAAGCTTTAGCGCACGAGTTGTTGCGACGGCTTATGGCAGTGTTGTATGTACAATCTGAACAGGTTCCACGGTAAGAATCAGCCAAAACATCTTGAAGGCGGTGGCAGGCGGTAAGATGCAGCCAGGAACAACCACAGAAAGAGGGAAGGCAGTGTCAACCAGGATTGGTCAAAGGGATGTGCATTTTGTTTAAGATTAAAGATGGAGCACACTAGTATCCTCAGACAACGGGCAGAGGATGAATGGTAGGGTTGGGCGATCATTAGTCGCAAGGGACAATGATCATCGATCATGACACAATTTGGCATACCTAGGTCAGAATATAGAACGTCGATCGATTCCGCGAGGTAGGAGCGCCCGGGATGCGGTCTTCGACCCTTATTCCCGTGTAGAGATGCAGCGAGCGGCGTTCTATCCTGTCGTGGGACCAAGCGGGGAATTTTCGACCTGCGTGTCCGTCCGACGCAGTACCGTTCCGGCGACGAGTCTTCGGTATGGCGGCCCAAACAATATTGTCGAGATGCTGCAGTCTGGCCGAGGGGATGTGCGAGCGTAGATGGAAGTAAAGATTCGCCCGTAAGGCAGGACCCAAAAGTAACGCGTAGAGAATATATATTTAGGATAAGCTTTGACGGAGTTGTCTCCCGCCCTTTCGACCGGTTGTTTCGCAGTTGGATGATTACGCTGTCGATGGATCGGATCCTCTGGTCATAGCTTGGGCGCAGTTGATGTGGGGCAGAGGGCCTCAGTCATCGACGACCGGGGGGGAAATTCTTCGTAATAGATTCGGTGGATGAGCCAATTAAGTGGATCTCGGCGTGCCGAAAGAACATGCAGAGAAGTATCAGATGGGCGCTGAGGACAGTGAGAGAAACACCATAAGGGAGAATCGCGCCAAGTGCTTTCTGCTAGGACGAAATCACCGATGAATGATGATGATGTCCTGACTGTTATGTCGTTCTCTGATGACCTTGTGCTTGCTCTGACTCAAGGGCATGCATGCGCGACTCCTTGTAAGGAATTTGGCGGGGCGAAGAGCACTAGGAAAATACCACGCGACACTGAATGGTGCACATACCAGTGCAAGGGAAAGGGGAAATGCTTGGAATGTTCTCGTGGGACGGTTGGCAGCAGTAGCCTGATCTTCCTCCACAAGTTGAGTTCATAGTTACTCATTTTAGTCCCCGAAGGAGCCAAGAGATTTCATGGAACGGTAACGTGGCGCTGCCGACAAGCTTTGCCAAGCATCCAGTTGACTCCGTCGATCCTGATGCCAAGAGATTTGTCCAAGTGCAATTGCTCCTCTCCCACAACTCTAGTTATATTTTACTTTTATTGTCTTTCCGAGAGACACCAGCTGATCAGGTAGATGAGTGGAGGCAACTCATCGGTACAAGACCTTTTTCACCTTGGGCGTTCCATCGTCAGGGTCTTCCTTTGATATGATATCATTGTATCGTTGACAATTTGATTGACATGCCATAAGCTACTAACTCATGTGACCCATGCATATGCAAGCAGAATGTGCAAAGAGCAGAATCGTTGACTCGCGCTTATAACTCTTCAAATCCTTCCTCTTCATCGTAGCTTTCGCCATAGAGTTCTCGTCGAAGCACATCCAATCCTTCGCGATCACCAGGGCAGAGCTCAGCATAATACCCTTCCAGAATATAGATATTGTTCGTCCATCTTTGTGCTCCTTCCCTCACAGTGTCGATTTCCTTCTGCTTCATTAGTATCTCAGCAGGATCACAGTCGCGGAAATTTCGTAGCTCCTGCCGAAGATTTTCAACTTCATGCTGAAGGATTCCGTGGATGGAAACTGCGTCCAACCCTTGGCTACCATCAGACGCAGTCATTTCGTTCCGTCTCGCCTCTTGAGCACCTGTCACTTGCATTTGCAAGTCGTCTGTACTCGCCAGGAGCTTATCTCGATCTGATTTGAGTTTCGTAAGGGTTCGCTCATGGATTCTCCTCTCCTCACTCGGGAAACTCCAATACCAATTTCCACTGCCGATTTTCTCAACGCAGATCTTTCCCTCGTCGGATAAAGCCTGAAGATAATCCTTGACTTGCATGCCGTTGATCGATGCCACTTGCGGTAGCATCTTTTCCAGATCTCTGATGTTGTGAGCGGTGCCAGATTTTTGCAACCATGAGTGAATCAGTGTTTGCTTTGCAAGCGGTGGAAGCGACTTTGGAGCCTGTTCAAAAGAGAAAGGTGAACTGTCAGCATGATCATCTCTATCTGCGTTGGTCACAGACCATGCTTCAAAAGCGGGTCGCTCGTTGTTTCGAAAGTAGTCTATTGCTAGAGCGTCAACCCTCTGCCTCGAAAGCGCTTCCATGAATCTAATCACATCTTAATTCGTCTACAGAGGCATCACTATACTTGAAAGCGCCCGATGAGAATGCCGTAAAACTAAAACGTCTTTATTGATAATTTTGAATGTCACGAAGGTTGTGGAAATCTTTCGGATTCACAGGAATGTGGCTCTAACAATGCTACTATACCGCGGCAGGAGCCGCCATACTACGATCAAACGCCCACACGGGCATTTACAGTATCAACATGAAGCGCATATTCAAATCTAAATGTCAAAGGGGATGTGCGTTCAACTTTCTCGGCATTTACAAATATACGAAGTGTTTACGATTACGGGCGAGAAACACCAAAGCGAGTGCTTGTGACTTGCTAACTGCTTCAAGGTGACAACTTGAAGGGACTTCAGACGGTTTTGGTTTGATCAATTGAATATTTTTACGCAGGGTGAGCCGCGCGGCGATTTGAGGGTTGAATAGCGGCCTAGGTCCATGCCTCACTCGCATATTTTGTCGTGGAAACAACCCACTGTCGCGAAACCACTGGATTATGGAGCAGATGCTCGCCGTTACAGAAGCGCGTGCAGGTCTCAGAAGTATCTGGGGCTATTCGAACAATGCTTCTGTACTTTGATGCTGCTTAAAAAAAGTCTTCTAAACGCCGGAGAAGAGGAGCTCGAAATCACTTGCGAAGTGATGGCGGCTAGACGCGATTGTGGGGATGATAAAAGGCAGGTAAAGGTGCCTTTGAACGGGTTAAACAACATCACCACCGTCAAGATTTATTTGCACTACCTAAGGCGACCACAAAGTCTAACTCGGACAATTCTGTCCAAGAGATCAACCTCAACTTGTTTAACCTTGAGGTGAAGACCGAATCTTTTCCATTTTATTGGCCACCTCAACCTGTAACATCTGGCCGCTCGCACTCAGCACACAGAACTCACTCGAGAGAGAATCGTGAACATCAAGGCTGAGGCCCACCCTGTTCCCTCGTGGCTAAGTTTAACCAGCATCGGCGCCGCTGGCACCAATCAGTCCTTCACATCGGTACTGCGGTTGGCACTACTGCAACTGGCCAGCGACAAGGCACGAATCACTGCGCCTCTTCGCTACCATCAATTGTTGGCTGTCTTCCCCCACTGCGTCAGTGAAAGGGCGCCAACACCCTCACTATTTTGCGGGCGCTACACCTCCTCAGAACGGCATCGGCGGCACCTGAACCTTTTCCCATCACTGTCTTTGTGCTGCTCTGAGGCCCCCGCAAGGTGTGCTGACCGTGCCCGTCCTGCACTTGCGTCTGAGTCGGCTCCTGCAAGTACACATAACTTACGCGCCCACATCTTTCTTCACACGTTGGCTACAATTAAGGTATGCCTAGCTATATTACGCATCCAGCAATATATACCACTCCTCCCCCTCACTCGGCCTCCTCCCACCTCCCTTGTGATCTTTGCTCTGCTCACTCGAACTTGTAGGCATTGTTTCGCGGTTTACTCTATCCGAGTCATTCATTTGACATTTCGGTCATTTGCTCCTGGAGGAACCCATCCAAGCCATGCCTTCCAACAAGCCAGTGCTCCATGCACTCAAAACTCCCGTGTCTGCCACTCTTCCATCCGAGTTGCCAAGAAGCCCTTTGCCGGGCATATCAGATCTCATCAAGCAAGAAGATGGAGTAAAGACGCCCATCACTCCTCCGATTGCTTATATCGACTTTCTCAAAGCTCTATCGCCCACTGTCACCAGTCCGGCCACCAGCGAAAAGTTTGGCGACCGGTTTGGTGACAAGTCGGAGAAATCAACGCCTGTCAGTCAGCCTTCGAGCGCGGGCAGCACTTGCTCATGCAACTGTGAGAATCATCGATCACCTAATATCGTGATTCCACCTTCTCCCTTTGGACGTCCTCACTCTGCCAAAACGCCCACTCACCTGCGGCGCCTTCGAATCCCCCCGTCTCCGCTTTATTCTCCTGGAATTGAGTCTCCTCTCAGCGCCAGCTCCATTGCCTTCAGTGCACGCTCTCCTCAAGAATGGGATTTTGAGGCCAAAGGCCGATACTTTGATGCTCCTCGCAGTGCTTCCGGTCGGCCCGTCAGTGTCCGCCAAGTCGTCACGCGTACCATCACTTACACACGAACGCCGCTCGAGCCTGCGCCCAAGGGCAAGCGCCGAAAAGTCGAATGAGCTTTCAAGAATCAGTCTTAATTTATCCGATTGACGAATTTTCTCGGTCAAGTCTTCGGCTTTTTCTGCCCGCTTCTTCGCGACACACGACTCTCATTTGAGCTTCCCAAAACCTAGGATGGCATGCACTACGGTTGTCCATCCTCTTCATCGCCTGCATCGCTCAAAATTTCTATGCATCCACAACTACTCTATCCGGATGAGCGTACGATCTTTTCTTCTCTCATGATTTGGAGCCAGGGGTTTCGCGTCAAGGTGCCATTTGGGGGGACACTTTTTTGGGATTTTGGATTTAATAATGGGTCCGGTTGGATCGAGGTTAGGAGGATTTGTTATTGCATTCTGCGGAAGGGAGCTGGGAAAGGAGAGTCTCAAAGAAGCAACATGCGACCATGGGCGTCTAGGCGAACTAGCTATATCAATAATTTGATTTAACTCAACATTTTCCAAATACATCTTCATCACCTTGTGGTTCTTCTTCATCGCTGGCGATGCTTTCCTCCAATAATATGTCCCGCTGATGTAGAATGTGCACGAAACAGATCAAACTTGGAGCAATGCTGCTGGCCGAGTCTGAGCAAGTCGAACCAGTGCGTGCACTAGGCAGCAAACTGCCTTGCAACATATTTTCAGCGCTCTCCAATCTCTACGCTAAGGCAGCACGATGCTTCAGAGACTGCAGGTTGGAGGGGCAGAGGTTGTTGCATGTTGATGGGGTAGAATGGACGTTCTGAGGTTATCGCATGTGATTGGCGTGAATGATACACGGGCGCTTAGTAGCGTGAGGGACGGGCCGGGGGATGGAGCAGAGGGATTGGACGACCAGGATAGATGATGCCTTTAGCTAACGGTAGTTCATTGGCCGCCAGGGATATATGGGCGGTTAAACCACAATCATACCCAACTTAAGACTCTAAAAATAAAGTGACAGCGCTGGTCAGTGGGCGTTCATTCTCACACCGATGATCGATCATTTGCAAAGACACGTTGGTGGTAAGAACGAAGAGAGAAGTCGCTCCTTGATCTTCATCATATATCTTGATAGACCAGCGGCAGTATACCACTGTAGATCACCAGCAATAGTTGAGCATGTAGAGTGAGGGAATCTGATTGTGCTCCCCCGTTGTCTGATACAGTACCTCGTCACGCTCTCGTGGGCTCATGCATGGTCCTTTGGGGTCTGCTCTGCATCTCATTCGCTCTTTACGCTCTGTATCCTTGTGCTTCCTGCATGAACAAACACGTCTCTGTCGCTATTTATATCTTACCACGCAGGAGTTCGCGTCGTCGGTACGGAGGTGGAAACCACACAAGTAGACCATCTCGAGACCACAATGCTTGTCATAAGAAACGACCGATGCCCTGTTGTTGCCCAGGTCTGAACGAGAGATTGCATTCCTATTTTATATATATATTATTGAGGCAGTGCAAATTAATACATGAGGAAGACAATGAAAAAGACTTAAAGAGTGCGGAGTTGCTCTTCCGTCCCTGTAGATTGAATGATTGTCCCACACCAAGAGCGTTCCGTGGAAGAGTACCCAAATGAGCTGCTATCATTCAATACGATACAATGGCCCCGGGAAATGAGTCCATTATGGCCTTTCAGAATGTACTCGCGACTTTTGCCAAGCTGGTTCTTCACAGTGAGCCGTCTGCGGCGAATCCCACGACTGCAGCTTTGGGTCGAGGTCTAGACGTGGAGGTGCCACGAAAGGATTAGGGTCCCGGTCAACAATCAATTCTATCATGTTTCGTCCCTTATTTGGCTCTATTCGATCCACATGTTGAGGCTCAATCCCCCAAATTCGTACTTTGTGCATTGCCTAGCTAACTGGAAATTACGTGGAAACGTAGAGTGGGGGGAAAATCCGTGGAAAACAGCAGATGATCGCTAATGAGGTCCTTCCATGTCAACACCACGCCGACGAACCAATTTCCTCGACGCGCACCACTCCATACCTGAGCATTTCGACTGACTTTGCAATACGTTCCTCTCGCGTGATTTTGCAAACTTTCTGCACTTGCTGCACTCGCTGAACTCATTGTGTTTTACCTCGCCAATGCGAACCCCTCCTTTCTCCCGAATTTGGGGACGTTGCTGACTCTTTGTCTCGGAGTGTTTCCCCTCTTTTCCCCGCTCAACCCTTTCCCCCGCGCCGTTCTGCCTGTCTCAGTGATAATATACTGGTGATTGTTTGACCTTCTTCTGATGCAGAATATGGATGCACCGCTCCCCGCACGTTTCGAACCGGATGCTGCTTCGGTCGGATGTGACGATAACGGAACTACTCCGCCGCCTTTAGACCCCTTTACGGCTCTTGCTCGCTATGAAATCGAAGCTGGCCGCGGTAATGAGGGCACAAAAGTGCTCATGGTAGAGTGGGAGGACGTTCGAAAAGGAGGAGAACCTCGTCGAGATTGGCATGTGTCATGGCCAGGCAAGAGAACCGTGCTTCCTGCAGAGGAACAATCTGATTCTACATACCGTCTCTACTTTTTAATTCCCCCTGGGGACCCTATTCCCCCAACGGTTACAGTTTCGCATGTGTCTTCGTCCAACACTGAGTCCAAGGACAATGATACGAGCGGGGCGGACCAGGACACGATACGCATAAACCCTTTGCCCGCGATTTTCCCGCCGCAGCTGGGTCTTTCTGTGCAAACATCGGGGCGAAAAGGTGTATACCATACAATATGGGCAAAGAAGCGCCTGTCTGTCCTTCAAAGGGAGATTGATCATGAAATGCAGGCGAACATCGAGGGTGTGGCATTGGAAATGGCGATGCAAGAAAAGGACTGGATTGAGAAAACGTTTGGAATTTCCTCCCGGCCATTGAGCATCGCCATTCCCAATCCTGGACTCGGCAACCGTCCTTTGACACCTCTGAGCCCAGGCAGTCCCCGATCACCTGGGGGAAGCCGTTTGTCGGAGATGCTGAGAGGCTTGAAGATCGGTACGACCGAGGAGGAGCTCAGTACAAGGCGCCAAGGTAATTACCATCTATCTATTGCATTAGCTTTCGGTTTGGTATACTAAATCATACTTTGTTCACGACTTTAGCCAACCACGGTTCCTCTTCACTCAAGCTGGAAACACCGCTGGAGGCCGACGCTCACGATGATCCATCAAACGAGTCCCATCCGTTTTCACCAGAGGCGGCCGATGTCGCCATTTCCTCTTTCAGCACGTTTCATGGAACCGATGCACCTAGACCTCAAACTCATAATAATGGGCCACTCAAAAGGTTTGTCGCCCAGTCGCCACCTCTGTCGGTCCAGCAACAGCAACGGCAAAACAACGGTCTTGCTTCACTGGATGCAGCCATCCTCCCATCTGAACCTTTTCTCCCTCCGCCACCGCCACCACCACCATCAGCAGCATTGGGCGGCATGAATCGGCTGCAAGAAGAAGAGGACGACCTTTTCGCCAAGCCTCTGAGTCCGCGGAGTCCTGATATGCCCAAAAGTCCATTTTCTTTTGCCACTGCAGACACATTTGCCTACATCAAAGGAGCAAAGTCTTGAACATTGCATTCCATACACCCCTTCTTGTGTCTCATTTGTCCAACTATACCATGACTACATATGTCTCATCACGACTTGACGATATCCTGCTCCTTTCCTCTCCTCTTTTCTCGTCTTATTTCTCATACTGCCTATATATTTCGTTTGCACTCAATTCTCATGTCCATAACCCTAGAAATTCATCGATTGTGACGTTACTGGTGACTTTGCATGGCTACAGGGCCACCGGAGTACAATTTTTTCCTCTTTTATTTCCCCCCTCCCCCCCGCCCTTTTTTTTTCTTCCTTTCTTTTCCTCTCTATCATAAATATTCGTCACGATGCTTGGTGTATGTATAAACTAGACCAGAAATGAAAACAACCAGTCTGAGCTGCTGCAGAAATTATCGGAAGCTACTAGTCTCAGGCCATTCCTTGACGCGAGCAAGACCAAGTCGGGTTGATATTCGAAATGACACCTCCAGCCTTCACTCTAGTATATCTATCATGCAAAATTGTGGAATTTGCATTAACATAGTACGAATTGTAATTTTTACTTTGATCTGATACGAAAAGCACTCGTGAATGTAAATGGTTTTAAATATGGTCATCAATCGTCGTTATATTTAATTCTAAACTACCTACTTTGCTCCCCATTTAGACTATACCTATTTGGCCAATTTGCTCCTTCTTGCTAACTTGCCTGCTTGCTACCTACTGCCGTGCGGGATATCTGAGATAAGAGATTTCAATGGGAAAAGAATGAGGCTACCGGCGCCTCGAAAGAAAAATAAAATAAAATGGAGGGGGGGCGGGAAATGAATTGGAGGAGACAGAATGCAAGGGGATGGAGGGAGCGTCGGGAGACGGTGCTATAAATGCGAGAACGGAAAGAGAATGGATGGGTAGATATGAGAATAATAAATGAAAGCAAAACATTGTGATGCTGGGTGGGAAAACTGATCAATGCGACGCCCGGGGATGGAGAGAGGGTGGGTATAGTTGATGAAGATTTGACGATGAAAGGTAAGAATTAAGGCAGAAAGAGAAATAAAAAAAAAAGAGTCGTAATAGAGCGGTGATTTGACAAATTGTGATGCAAAAGTACTCTGTCGTTATGATTGGAAAATGGAGAAAGAGGAGAAAAAGAAAAAGAATAAATAAAGCACACTAGATCTTGTTTCCATTGACGTTAACTTCGTAACCGTCACCCTTTTGCTTGAGGGCTTTGGCAAGCATGAGTTCGCGCATCCAGTCGATCCGCTCCTCTCGCGACTTGACTGCAAAATGATGCGTCTTGCCTAGAGCGGCGGCCCGCACGCCCTTCTTGTCGATCGATGGGATGAGCTGAAAGGCAAAGGCACTAATGTCTGCGTCCTTCTTCTTTCCAGAACCCGAAAGCTTGAGCGACTTGAGCGCCGCGCCGAGCTTGTTGGACGCCAGAGACGAGCAGGCAATGGCGTAGTCGTCCACGTCAATGTACTCGAGAGCGTCAATGGTTTGCTCGTCCTTGTGCATGGCCAGCTTGGTGCCCTCGAGCTTGTAGTGATTCTCTTGCCACTCGTGGCGGAGGAACTTGGTCTTGCGCTTCTTCATCCATCCGGCATGGCTAATGCTGCTGTTATAACTATGATGGGCGTGCGCTGGCATCTCCTCTGGCTGATCAACGGGGCTGAGCACATTCTCCTTGATCCGCTCCAGCGCAAAGCTTGGCCGGCGATTCTCGCTGCGAGATGATGCTCGGGACGAATTGTCACGTTCCCGGTTGCCAAATTGCATGTTTGGAGGCACCGATTGAGAAATGTCCCGAGCGATTGGGCCAATTGGGACTGCAGTCACCGGGACATCCATCTCGGAGAATGGTGTGCCATGGCGATCAGAAGGAACAATGGTGCGGAGCGGCGAGTAACTGTTTGTAGGATAGTGATATGGCCTCTGAGGAGAGGTGCTTGCTGATCTTGTGAGAGGTATTGACAATTTGGGGAGACTTCGGAGATACTCATGCGCGCCAGGAGTATTCTCTGGCGGGTGCAATGGTGGGAACAGTTCGAGAGGAGGAGTAGAAGGCTCCTCTGGTGGTGGAGGGGCATTGATGTGCTGAAAGTTCAGGAATTGCTTGACATTTTCCTGCGGGTCGCGAGTTTCAATCACGCGCAGCCGCTCCTCTTGGAGACGGAATTGCGGATATTGACTGGGACCGAGCACATCTGACGAGGCCACCACTGACGGCACGACGTCGGAAGTCGGTCGAAAACTCGTTTCTATGCTGGCAGGAGTGGGCGGTTCATGAGCTAGGACAAAGCGTCCGTCCTTGTCCGAGCTTAGAGGAACAGCTTCGCCAATGCGTGCCAGCTGGCGCTGCTGTTTTCTCCATTTGGAGCAATTCTCACCCTTTGAACACTTGTGAGGCCTAGGCAAAATTTGCTCAATTGCAACTATGGAAACAGACTCGGCTGGAGAGATTATATCGTCGATTTCTGACTGTCGCGGCTTTCGCATTCGCCGGCGAGCTGAAGCTGGCGAGACTGGATGCTCCATGTCTTCATGTGGAGGGCATGTCTGTGATCGAAGAGGCTGCGGTGAGCCTCTACTACTTGAAGAAGTTGCAGGGCGTTCGATGTCAGTTGCAGCAACCACATTGGGAGCGGGGCCAGCGTTGCCACGAAGATGATGAATCTCGTTCCACAAGCGGTGGCGCTTTCCAAAGGACTGAATGTCTAGCTCCTTGAGGTCCTCAAACTGAAGGTCAACCAAGATGGCGCCCGAGATGTCGTTTCGCTCAAACTTGTCAACGACAGATTCCTCAAAACCCAAGCCATACATCCAAGACGCCACTTGTTGCGGTGTCCACCTCCGAACTTCTACAGGCTCAAGCTGGGCGACGGCTCTTGGGAGAGAGCTGAACCGGGGAGATACGGCCGATTGAGGGGACCGGGTAGGCTCCGGCTTTTGTGATGCTTCTTGTAAGTTCACAATGGGTGACAAGGACATGGACATATCCAGGTATTCTTTTGGCGCAGTCTGTGAGAATCGGAACAGATGTGGCCCTTTCGGACCTTCCACCGGCTTCGACTCAACTGCAGGAAATCCATAACTGTTGAAATGATTTGATTTTGGTGTCGTAACTTCGTCAAAGCTTGATACTGTCGTGTCACTCTTCTTGTCAAACTATAAATCAGGTCAGCGCTCGCACATGGAGTCATCTTTGTCCCTAAGTCCTTACAGATTCCATACTCCGTCTCGAGGATGTCATCTCTGTATCACTGAAGTCGTCTTCGAACTCAGTATCATATATTTCCGTAGCTTCGGATAACGGTCTAGGCGCCGGCGCATGAAGACCGAAAAATGGCTGCTTGAAACCTTTTTGGTACATTCCCAATCCATCCTGGAAGTCCAAAGCTGGCCCAGCCTGTTGAGGCGAATGTCAGCATATCCCGAATCATTAAATGCTATGCATGAGAGATTTACCATGATGATATCCGCCATCGCGAGATGGTCGTATGTGCCGTTCTATCAATTCAAACAAATCAAATGTAATTCTCTCTTAACCCTTTTTGTTTTTTCTCTTAATCTAATATTTAGAGACCGACAGTCACCGTAGAAAGTTGCAAGGAAAGAAATACACGGGAGCAAAAAGGAAATGAATGGGACTAGGGAGACACGACCCTTCGGGCGTGGGGTGCATCAATGTTCTTAAGTATAAGGTGATGATGCCTTCTCGGGCCGTCCGAGGGACGAAGCGCACAGGAGCCCGCATCACGCCCGAATGGTTTCGAGGGCGGCCGTGCTGTGACCGCCATATGCATGAGACGGTGATGAGGCTTCTGAGGCGCCCGACCCGGCGGTTGGTTCGCGTCCAGGTCTCGGTCGACAGGCGTCGACATGTAGCAATGGCTAGGAATCGTTCAGACGGGATTGCCTCGAGAAGCGTGTGCCGCCAGGTGCAGAAGGAATGTGCAGGTGGTCAAGCCCGTCAGCCAATCCCACGCGGGAAATTAGCAGTGATAATGAGGAGGTCAGCATGGATGCGACAAAGGCGTGGGAGCCCATTGGTCTGGTCAGGGCTGTGACTGCATTCTGAGGCCGGGGGGGATGGTGCGATACCTCGCGTTGGCGCCCATAGTGGCCTAGGACGATGATAGGCTGGACAGATGTATTGCTTCATTTTCTCTCTTGCCCAATTTGGCATCAAAGTGATCAGAAGGTCTTTTGTGAGCTAAGTTAAGCAAAAATGGCCTCAACGAGTAAGGCGACAGTATCCTGATGAATGGGCTCTGTGCTATAACGGCCGCGCAACGCCTCAGCTCATGTCATCACAACCTGTCTCTTTTGGCATCACATTATGGGTCTACTAGTAGCTACTCCGATATTTAGTACTTCTTTTGACTTTTTGGCACTGATCTTTTAGTGAGAGGGTCCGTCTCGATTAGCTTACGGTCCGACACGGGCGGGCCTTTCGGCTCGACGACGGGACGAGACGAGATGGCCCTCGTTGCTGTTTGTGCGTGCATGCCATCGTCTGTTCGACAAACCATTTTTTGACTTCTTTTCGTCGCCCTCGTGTCACACGCCGACTGAAGAGCAATTCGCTCCACGCTTCCACCATGCAAAGAGCTATCTTTTCCCCTCACTCATCTGCAAGCCCACATAGATGAATTGTCTCTTATGTGTTGCCCAAGTAGAATGCACGTATATTCTGTCGACCAAAGGTTGAACCCCAAGTGTTACAGGAGGAAAAAGTAAACTTTTCGTAACGTCCTGTCTGCCGTTGTCTCCCCAGTGTCTTAGGCAGAGTAGACGGTACGTTAGAGTACCCGAATCAGACAGTCACATCAAGTGTCAGGTTAAGACATCTTGTCGTAGCTCGACTCAGCAGTCGAGGTTCAAGACATCAAATCTACTTTTGACTGGACGAGCGTTGATCGACAGGGCCCTCCTGGTGGCTTGCTGTAATGTCGGTGCTCAATGTGCCATCTTCTGCAGATTTCCAATCAATTGCATTTCCATGATTCTGGAAGAGAATACGAAGATGAAGAGTTTTTTCGGCTTCTCAATCACATTTCCCAACCACCAACAGAAGAACTAAGACACAGCTGGAGGTGACTCAAGGTACTATTCGCAAAGTTTCTTCGCCGTGTAATTTGTCCGACGACACAGAAACAAATCGTCTCTTAATTTCTTCTTCAAGTGGCGCAGAATCTTGATCGCGAGATGAAGATGTGACAGGACAGGGACTGTAATCGTTCAACTTTGTTAGCTGAAGAATCCTAAATGTGGCATCTCATCAAGAAAGTAACCGTACAGTGAAGCATCTCAAGATACCTTGGTCGCCATGGGAGACTCCCATGGTGGGCCTCGCTAACTACTGAACCCCGCTCACACCACTCTTAACTTCGGCGTTGGCCGAACAATTGCTGTCTTTGGATGTTACCCAGATACAGTTCAGACAAGCATCATTATTGCAGAAGCTAGCGGGGGCCATAGATACGTACAGATGGATTTCGCCAAGGATAATCCCAATCAATACCAATGATGCACGTTCCACTTTGTGGTTTTTGCCGGCAGAGAGTGAGCAACAGACGTGCAGGGAATGGAGACTGTGGCCAGCACAAGCGACTCGGGGTGTTCGAGTAAACTGAAACGCTGTTGCGAACTCTCTGCTTGTAGGAGGCTTATCGATATAGCTGGCTAATGCTTCAGCCAAGTCAGACATGCAGAAACTTTTCTCAGGCATATTTGAGCAGCGGTCAATGAAAAAGGACCACGAGGGAAAGCCTCATTGCGCAAGGGATTCCTCTTGTCCACGGCCGTGGCTCGAATTGATCTTGCACGCCGAGCTACGTTGCTGGAGAAAGCCAATTTCACAAGCCATTGTATAACCTGAATGCCCGACCTCCGCCGATTTTGTGCTGTTGCAGGGTTTGATCAAAACGAAATAGTAAGCCATTTCTTGAGGCGAAGACTGATGCTGGACACTTGCATCGTTTCATGACTTAGCGTGCCATTCGTCAATGCCACGATTGTAGTAGTTTGTCCTACCAGTTCTTTGTGATACCTTGACCGTGGCTTCTATCATCTCGCTAATGATGTGATCGCCTTGGGAATCCGACCAAGCTAAAGCTCTAGGTAGCTTGAAGATGTTGCTCTTCTGGAGCGTGGGAGCTTCACTATCACAGTGCTTGTACGAGGGTAATTCATTAGAAGATTTGTTTTTTCATTGCGTCGCACATTGCGTACCCCCTTTCTCCAATTCTTTACAATTATTGAAGATCTATAACCTACTTTTCATCGACCAGAATGGTTATTCTTCTGTAAAAATTTGGTACAAGCTTTAGTGTAGAAATTATATCTGAGGTAGAGTGAGATCTTGTCTCTAGGTAGGCTTGTATGAGACCGACGCGGTATGTGTTGCACAGGTTTATCGGTCGCTAGCGCAACGCCCGCTCTCACCTGCTCTTTTTGGTCTTAGATCCTGTCAAAAAGGTTATGCTGGCAATCTTGCTATGGTTGATCAGCATCGCTCAAAAATTATGTGACATACGGCGGACCGGGCCGGGCCATTGGGGTGGTCTTATGTGATTATCGTAATATTTCCATTCTCCCCGATGACCCAAGCGAGATGTTGGCTTGTTTTCTCGTCTGCTTGAAGTACTGAGATAGCAAGCAATGTAAATGAGATTTGCCCAACAGAGTACGTCAGGCATTGCTGAAAGCCTGAATCAGGTATCAGTATCAGTACATGGAAGCACGAGATCATGAGAAAGAAGCTGCACTAGCGGAGCGTAAACTGATTCGACACCTCTGTACTGAATTGGATATGTCAGGTTACTTACCTTACTTACCTTACCTTAGCTAAGCTTATGATCCGGTTAACTAGAAGCAAACGACCTTGTGGAGCTGCGTTATCTGTTACACACGGGCAAGAGTCCAAATGAGGAAATTTGCCAAGCACAATATCAAAGTTAAATCGTCATTGATTATGATTGACGATGGTCATTTACCACTCCGTTGGGGCCGGCAACGCGGACAACATCCAGATGACGATAATGAGAGATCGGACCTCGTGACATGGTTTGAGGTAAAAATGGAAAAGAAAATCAAAGTTAAGCGCCCAGGAAGGGTAATTTTAGGGGTATTACTGTTATACTAATTGTCCCCAAATAGAAAAATTGCTCATAGTAAGGTTGGTGTCGGATGTGAGGGGGTTGGGTGCATGAGAACAGGCACATGGGTCCTCGAGGGGGAAAGGAAGCATGGGGCCACGGAGCAAGGAGGCAGGAAAAAAAGGTGTGACCACGCAGAAGAGTTGGAAATTTGCTGGGTTTAAGGATAATTAATTCTTGCTGTCCGAGTTAATTATGGATCAATTATTCCCGGCTAAGAAAAAAGGGATTAATGTGAGCAAATTCTAGTGGACTGAGGGACAAAAGAAAGTCCAATCTTGGTTAGGACGGTCGCTTAAGATGCGAGAGACATCACCATTTTCACTATTTTGTGGGTCCGGAACCCCGCACGACGCACTGTGCACATTGCAAGCCTCACCCACTTCACCCGTTGTTAGGCCAAAGGGTCCTGGCTCTCTTCGTCCCCGTTCCTGTCACCAGCATAAGTGTGTTGCACCGGGATGTTCTCTCATCCTTTTCTGGTATGGTTTACATGCCTTTCCCTGTCTGTCTTCTCGAATCAGAAGCCTCAATCTCCCGAGAAATCTTTCGTGGGAGATACAGTATGGTCAGGTCATCCCTGAAACTCGCATAAGTGACGCCAGTGACGGATCGCTGAGAACCAACCGAACCGCTTGTCCCGCACCCATGTGGGAGCTTGGCATGCACGATCCTAGCGTTATGGCACATCAGTCTCAACCTCATCTGTCCACTCTTCGTTCTACATTGCCACTTTGAGCGCCTCAAGGTTACTTTTTCTGCGGCCATGGCGGCCATTCATAATCTTTCAAGCATGTGTATCTCATGCTGTGCTCGTCAAGCTACTCCCAATTCTTCCATAGACCGGCCTCCCTCGCCTCTCGACCGTCTTGGATCTCGACGCCATCTGGCTTTTTGCGCGAATGGATGAAGTTTGCGATGATCACTATCGAGCTTAGCCAGCGAAGGAATAGGGCAACAATACTCGAATAAGACACTAAAGGCAATGCATCAGATGATCGCCTGTTCAATTTCCTGGCTCCGGCGAATGACTGTTGGTACTTGGACATACCATCCAGTTCCACCACCAACCATGTACCCACTTGGCATCTCTCAATGGCTGGGATCATATCTTCCCTTATTGGTGTCGGCATTTTTTTCTGCTCGGTCGAATTTGATGACAATGACTGAGAGAGTGGACGAGGTAGTGCGGCACGACGGCCTAGTAGCTACTCGTCATCTTGCGCTGGTCCCGTCCATAATTGAGGCTCTCGGTTCCGCATGGTTGGCAAGGTCATTCAAGCGACCAGTTCCTATGTATCGCACTCTACTTCCAGGATATGCTGGGAAAGTAGGTTTGCATGGGACCACGGGGCGGCGAGCAGCATGCAGAAGAGAATGGGGGGAAAGCTCGAATAGCGATCAGGACCTACCGGGGAATGGCCTGCGGTAAGGTCTGCAGGCCTGCTACACCCTACAAGTGGCCCAGTCTTTCTTTGGCAGCAAACGTTGCCGTCGAGGAGTGTGGGACAAGCAAGCACGGATGCTTTTTTTAAAATGGACTCGAACAGGCTGCAGCAGGGGTGCGACATGGACCGTGCAGCAATATGGAGCCGGCCTAACCTGCCGTGTTGGCGCAAAAATAGCTTCGACTCCATTGCTGAATGGCTGAATTGCCAAATTAGGGAATATATGTCCTGACAACATTTGCTTCTGTCCGCCTTGGAGGCCCATTGGTACTAGGATGTGCTCCCTGACTAGCGCATGGAGGCGTCGACTGTCTCGTGGATCTTGCATTCTGGCCGCCGCTCGGAAGGCGACCAGAAATAGAACCCCTGGTGGCTCTTCGGGTCGTTCCTCTTGCTAGAGCACTTCCTGACATATAAACTACCCGCCTCCAAATTTTGACGCCACGGAGAACTTGCGCAACGGCCGACTGTGTACATCGCTCACCTTCCTTTATTTCCTTTTTCCTGATTAGATTGCAAAGCCAGCTGGCTAGGCTTTTGTATCTTCAGATAATTAATCGCGATCCGGTCTCGGCCCAAGCCAGCTTCTCACGTCCTCTTGCTCCAGCCATCTCTGCTTTTTGCCTTGTTTTTCTGTTTTCAGAGCTAGACTCTAATACTTCATAATGGCGACAAAATCAACTGGTGTGACTTCTCGTCCTTCAACAGCAACCATGATCAACTCGAAGACCTCCACCCCCAAACCAACCAATAAGATGCATCGCCGTTCACGGACAGGTGAGTGGCCTTGATTAGCAACCTTTAGGTTATCAAGATAGTCCTCCTGACCATAACCTGTATAGGATGTTTTACTTGCCGTTTGCGACGAAAGAAGTGCGATGAGGGAAAGTCGGCATGCAAAGCATGCAAGCACTTGGGTCTTCGGTGCGAATACAAGCGGCCAATGTGGTGGAGCAACAATGAGCAGAGACGTCAACAGAAAGAGATCATCAAGAACATTATCAAGCGCACCAAGCAAACCGAAAAATCGACCCAAGTCGGCCCCCGTGGGCTTGAATCGCCCCCAGACCTCACCCACTCCCTGCCCGCATCGTCGGATACGTATTCAGATGCTATGTCCCGCACACGAGCAGTATCTCTGGATTCTCAGTTTTCTCTAGATTGCGAATTTGGTCAGGGAATGGGGATGGAACACTTTGATGGCTTTTCAGCGTCAATGCCTCCGCCTCTCTTCGCTCCTTACCACGGCTTTCCGCCCTACGAGGTTGACGTAAAAACGGAGAGGCAAATGTTTGTGAATGATATCCCGACTCGCCGCGATTCATCGGTATCGACGTTTAGTACCTTTCAACACCCAGCCGGCTCACTTCCGTTTCAGCCGCACTCAACTGGAGAGAACTGGGTGTGCGAAGACATATACGAGGCGCAACAAGATGCTTTCGCCGAGGAGCCAATTGACTTTAATTTCTTTGACTTCCCATACAGTCACTTGACCCCCACTCGGTCGTCGTTCATTGATATCGAGGATTGCGATCGCCCGTTGCTTGACCATTTTCTCGAAAATGTTTTGCGTCTGATCTTTCCGATCCTGGAGGTCAATCAGCATGGCTCTGCTCGTTCAAATGTCATTCTTCCCGCTCTGGAAGCAAACAAATGCTATCTACATTGTTGTCTCAGTGTGTCTGCTCTGCATCTCAAGGCGACTGAGCAAATGGAAGGCGAGAAAATTGACAATGATATTATGCGGCACCGCTACGCGACAATTTCCGAACTATGTGAGGCTTTGAGTCGTGATACAGACCATAGGCAAATTTTGGAGGCAACGCTAGGGATGATCTTCTTCCAGTGCTCTGTGGGCCGTCCAGACGACTGCCTTCCTGACATACCATGGCATCAACATTTCCAAGCCGCGTCAAATCTGATCTTGAAGCTCGATCTCCCTCGTATCCTGCTTGAACTGAGTTTCACGCACGCTCAGCCTCCGTTCAACATGACTTTGGCTGCCTGGATTGATATTCTAGGTGCCACCATGCTGGGCCGCGCTCCGATATTCGCAGACACTTATCGTGAAAAGCATATTAGTGCTTCTTCGACAGGTCTGTGCGAATTGATGGGATGCGAAGATCGGGTCATGTATCTCATTTCGGAAATTGCTTGCCTTGAGGGCTTGAAGCTCGGAAATATGATGGACGACGTGACGCTTTGTCAGCATATCTCTGCGCTCGCGGAACAAATTGGCATCAATGAGCCCGCACCTAACACAATAACTAGTCCATTCTCGGCCTCTGGTGCAATCAGGCCCAAGCAGCTCTCGAGAAACATGACTGCCATCTTTTGTCTCGCAGCCCGGATTTATCTCATCAGCCTGATACCAACGTTTGATCGCAATGCCAAGAGCACAACTGACTTGGTCACTCGCCTCACCGATTATCTGCAGTACATTCCATCTGGAGCAGAGGGTTTTGATCGGTCACTCGTCTGGCCTCTTCTGATCTGTGGCTCATTCTCGGTACCCAATTCGCCTTTCCGTGGCACATTTACAGATCGGGTTGAACGGCTAGGCGAGCATGCAGCGTTTGGAAGTTTTGGCCGCATGGTCCGACTAATTCAAGAAGTTTGGCGGCGTGGAGACGAGTCTGCGGCCGCGTCTCCCGAGAACGGAGCGCAGTGCGTCCACTGGCGGGACGTGATGCAGCAAAATGGATGGGACTACCTCTTGCTCTAGAGAGGTCAGTCGGATTCGAGGCTGGTTCACTCGGTTATCCGTTTCCCATGCTTTGAACTGACATCCTGGACTGTCGTTTAATTCTGTTTCTTAATAATGTGTTTCATTTCTTTTTTCTTTGGAATATTGTTATTTCAATTGCTGCTGGATCAGCAAAGGCGCCTTTTTTTTGTTTCGCATATGGGCTTTTTGGCGTTTTCTTGGCTCTTCTGAACTGCCGATCCATTCATCATCATTCTTGCTTTGACGTGTAGTGTGGCGAGGATTCTCCATTTTATTATTTTTTTTTTCCTTATCGCATCGTGGGGTCGCGTTTGATACCCGGTACCCTTTCCTTTCGTTACCTTGTCCCTCACTCACTCAAAAAGCATGGCCCTTTTTTCTTGTATGCAGAGACACGCAGAGACGAAGTAACGTGTTCCTCGCCTTCTTTTCCTCTTTTTCAGTCTAGTTGAAGTGGATAAGATACGGTTTGATTAGGTTTTCGCTAGCGACTAGCATCATTATTACGATCTTTGCTTCTTTTTGAGGTTATCTCAAGAAGAAGCTTAAATTCAATGTAAATATTCCCCTCGGTAATCGTGTCAGCTGGATTTGTCTTAGACTTGGACCAGAATAATCGTGATGATGATGATGATGGCTCTTAAAGCTAAAAAAGAATGCAGGTGACAATCTCCTAGAGGATTGATCGCCTCCTTTCAGTTGGCGTAGAATTAGTTGCCTCTACGTATGGCATTCTGATATATTTCACGGGCACGAAAACTTCAATACGTAGCCTCTTTTTAGATCCATTCACAATTGCTTTCCGCTTTGCCTAATTTTTGTTTTTATTTTTATTTTTATTTTGTTCCGCCGAACCTTTTATCTTGTAAAAAATATAAAAATAAAAAAGCGATATCATTGTTTCAAGGTATTTTAAACTCTTCATCTACAATGATTTGATAATACAAAGGTTATTGCTCAATATCTTTTAGAATTCAAGAGAGCGGATACATTGACAATTAATTGTTCTCGGGACCTCAAAATACCTAGCAACAATCGCCAAGTACTCCGATAGATAAACCAACGTAAAATAGACTACAGATTTTAACATTACAAAAGCACCGGGGTATTTAAGAACTCCGTCGCCCTGACCAAGGGTATCGATGGTTACGCTTCCCAAAGCAGTGCCGACATGGCATGTTTCAGCGCAGTGAGAAATTGCTCTTGAATCAGTTTTGATCCAGCATATCCGTCGAGATATTTTCCGGCTCCCCAGCCGACGGGCAGAACCAGTCTTCTCCTGCCGCGAGAGTCCACGACGACTACAGCGTCCAAGCCAATTTGTCCACCTCCGAGCGGATGCAAGAGGCCGAGTTTGAGCAGATGATGTTCCGGTGGACCACGAGCCCGAATCATGGGAATTGGCAGCATCGCCGACGAATCTTTGGCGGAATAGCCCGCCAGGTCGGATCGAGGTACATGGCTGATGCCTGCAAAATGCGAAAACGGCGCTATCCGGAGAAGCTCTGGCTGTGCGTGACTACAGACACTCAAATGCATTGTTAGCGATCAACGTCGCAAATGAACGGGCCGGCTATGAAGCTTTCGGGCTTCGTACCAAAGCAATTTATAGTGCACGTCTGTCGACCCAACAACACAAAGAATCAGCAGGCTCTTGCTGGTCCAGTGAGGAATCGGTGTCCCGAGTACATGTCTACAGTAGCTCCAATCGCCCTTGACATTTCTACCGTTAAAGACGAACTCGGCCTCGGCGTCATCCAGCGAGGATGGATCAAACGGAAGCGCTCGCTCAGCCGGTATGAGTCGGAGCGCTTCGGGACATTCGGGAGCCGTTTTGGAGCGTTTAAAAGCCGCTAGTCCGCGGCTTTGGACGAGGATGGAGGGCGTGGGTGATGATTCCAGTAAGGGCGACGAAGAATAAGATTCGGGCTCTGGGGATTCAGCAGCTCGCTTTCGAGGATTGACAGGTTGACAGGAACGACTATTATTCAAGTTCGGATTGTTGAAAGGAGAGAAAGCTGCGGCAGTGAATGGCACATCATGCATGCAAATGTCCATTACCTCCATGGCGTTTATATAGGAGACGTGTACCTTGATTAAGTGTCCGTCGTCATAAAGGATGGCTCAGATCATGGTTAGGGCCTGCCAAGTGGATATCGAGGGAACAGGGAGAATCCGCACCAGCAAATAGCAGATGTGGGACAAAGCAGAAGGTTAATGAGGGGAAGTTGTTAGAGCCGGGGAGTACGGTTCATTTGGAAAGGGGAGGAGGCATTATTAGAGTCTTAGTTAAGGATGGAGGGATGGGCTTTGGCCTGATGGAGAGTCGAGACTTTTGCCATCCCGTCAATCAGTCAGTTGTAGTTTAGTTTATCACTGTGGCAGGATTTTGTTGCCCGGGTGAAGATGCACTAATTCTTCACTAATTCTTTCACTAATGCAGCATAAAAATGCGGAGAAGCGAATCATTTAGCCGAACCGAATTCTGTAAGTTAGTACGAAGGTAGTGTTGTAGTCGAGATCACAATGATTTGATACTTTGATTCCATCCACGTGGTCTGTCATCCTGGAAGTTTACTCCGCAATCATCTGCATCTAATTCTTAGAATGTACATAAGATTGACAGTATTACATGACAAGGATATAGAGTCCAAATATTGACGCAAATCATCTATCATTTCTTGTTGCATTGGGATCATAATGATATGTCAGGTCACGTCATTTGGTCTCGGCAGGGTCCAGGGCTCTGTACCGTAGCGGTCGCGACCCCACGGCAAGTGAACGGAGACCCAAAAACCGATTGGTGGCTGTGGACAGCACCATCATGGCCAACTCCAAGCAGCACTTGCAACTGCTGCAAAAGACCATCTGGGACGGCTCATTACCATTAGAGATACGACTATCTTCCTCCGAATGTCGCACGTATGACGATTCAGAGCCATACTTTGTGAGTTCTTCCCCCGCTATCCTGTACATCGCTTTGACCTCCATCTCTCACGCTGGTCCCCCTTCTTCTACCCCTCAGCTGCAGCTATAACATCACGCCCACTCGAAACCCCCGGAAGCTGACCTGGGCAGGTACATTTTCCGCGACTTTCCTATTTGCCATTCCTATTACCAAGACTCCATGCCTTCTTCAGCACATCCCTGATCGACCCTGCGGTGCTTCCCCACGATGGGTGGTTCTCCTTTGAAAACGTGCCGTTGAAATGGCATTTCCCGCTTGGCCTCTTATATGACCTATTTTCTGGTGCCGAACCCGTGTCCAAAAGCTCGAAGCCGACCACACATATAACCGCTGCTGGGGATGACGCTGAAGAAACGGAGCAAATGAGCCCTCTTCCATGGCGGCTGGTGGTCCATTTCACGGAATGGCCAGACGACCAGCTCGTCCGGCTTGACCGTGACGGCAAGGTCCTCCACGACGCCTTTGTCAATGGTGTCAAAGAGGTGAATAAACTGCTCTAGAGGGTTACAGTGAATACCAAGGCTGATAACGGGCAGGCTGATTTCTTAAGAAATGGAACGGCAAAGGGTATCATGTCACTGTCAAAAGAAGACTCTACGAAACTCTGGCAAGCGGTCGAAGAGCGTGAGTGCAATATTCAACTTCTGAAATAATACGTATTGTCAATGGTTTTGACCTAATTCTGCTTCCGATAGACAACCTTGCCATATATAACAGCATCAACCAAAAGCTGCTCAACACGCCCGGCACAAGCCTCCGTAATATTCCACTTCGAATATATCTGCCATCCTCGGGGGATGCGCCTTCTACGGAGTCTACAACTGAGACTAAACCTGACGAAGCGCCTCTGCAGCGCTCGCTCCGTGTAGTCCAAGCTCCGATCGCCCCTATGATCTCTAATCGTAATCCTCTCTTGTCCAGTCATCTTCCCACTCGCTCCAGTCTTTTCTAGTCGCAAAAAAAAAAGCATTAAGCTTATGCCTTACTAAATCTTTACCATAGGCGAACCGCACACCATTGGTACCGCGCTCAATAGAATTCTACCCAGTCTCTTTCCCAGTCGCCGCACAGCCATTCTCGCACGACCTGTCTTGCACGGTGCTGTCCTGCCCCTCTCTGCTCCGTTGGAGGACATTATGCGAGCCGCAACCTATTCTGATGGTTGGATTCACTTGGCGGTGGTTATGATGAGTTGAGATCTACCATGACGACTTTATGACTGTACGAAGCATTATCGTTGTTCAGCCCATAGACTGACACAAGAATACAAGAGCACAAAATTACCGCATATGGGGTTATTGATGTGATAATCACTGACAAGGTATAATCGGGTATCACTACTCTACTATCTGCTCAAGTACCTTCGATCGCTCGTAATTCGTTCCAATAACGTCACTTACCATCCCAAGGATATATATGACTATGTAAACGTAACCTTTTGCCGCGTGAGATCGTGATAGATGTCCTCCAAAACCTGTCTCTTCCTCTTTCTCGTCTCATCTTCTTCATCATTAAGTTTTGCCTCTGCAGCCTCTTGCTCTTCGAGCTCCGCGTCCTCTCTTGTCCGCGGTCTCCAAGTCCGAATCAACCCATCCGAATGGGCCGAATACATTTCCACATCCCCCTGTCTCCACGCCAGCGCGGTCACACGATTCTGCAAATTACGTTGCGCAGCTTTCGTTGCAGCAGCGACCTGCGTCCCTGGGGCGCGTAACCGCTTCAGCAGCCGGCCTTCAAACAGATCAAACGCCAAAATCTCCCTCTCATTGGGATAAAACATGAGCGGCTTCCCCGGGGGAGTCATATACGTTGGGGCGAGAGCCGGCAAAATGGGAGCCAGGCGCGTATTTTTAATAATCGGACCAAAACTCGCCAGCGTGTTTGCGCTGGTCGCTGCATCCCAGACGCGGATCCGCTCATCGTGTCCCACAGTGATGATATAATTACCATCATCTGTCCACACGACGCCATTCGCCGCCCCATTATGCGCTTTTCCTTTCTCGCGGCGCCGTGCACCGGTCCCTAGGCCATCATACCCACATATACCGACTGAATCTTCCATGTCGAGCACACCCAGACAGCCCGCGCTGCGGCGCACGTCCCAGAGCCGGACCCCGCCGTCTGTCCCGCTGCTCGCGAGCACGTATTCGTCTCGCGGACTCCACGCGACGGAGAGCACAGCACCGTGGTGTCCCGCGAGCGAATGCGTACTTGCGCCGGATCGTAAGTCCACGAGTCGCACGGCGGGATGCTGAGTCGCGCACGCGACAAGGAGATGGTCCGCGATGGGCGAAAGCGCGTGGGAGTATATGACGGAGCCGAGGTCAAAGGAGGCAGATGGAGCCATGGTGATGCTGGATGAGATTTTGAGCGTGTGGTCGAAGGAACTGCTCAAGAAAGCGAGCGAATCGAATGGGTAGAAGCTCAGTTGCGTTATGCCGAATTTGTGCGTGGACGAGGACCGCTTGACTGCGCCGGCGGGTGTATGTAGAATACTGCGTTTCCCGCTGTCATTGTCATCGTTGGTATTGCCATTGGCATTTTCGGATGCTTGCTGTTCCAAGTCCCAGATGAAGATGGACGAATCTGCTCCTCCAGAAAGCATGTATTTGCCTTCGAACTTGTCGATTGTGAGAGCATTTACGCCGGCGTTATGTGCGTATATTTCTTGCACGGCATTGCCGTTATTGTTGGACTCATCTTCTTCCGTGCCCTGGCCTCCTGGAGCCAATGTCGATGCATTCTGAGACCTGTTAGTGGTGGAGGAAGTCGGCCGGCTTGAGAATCGTATGTGCGGAGCTGGTTGAAGTGCGTGAGCCAGTCGAGTGGTTTGTGCACGCTCAAATGCCTGCGGGCTCGTGACACCCAGGGCTCGGTTTAAGAGATAGGAATTCATACATCTAGTCGAAGTGCTAGCCACGAAGTTGCATGAAGTATGTGTGGAGAGGGATGTGTTTATGTTGTCAGTGTCTCGCTCGGCAATATGACGTTGAATTTCGCTGGAGATGGAGTTTAGAGCAAATCCATCGGACTTATCGGTTCGCTAACCATTAAAGTTACGCCTGTGAATTTGGTTCGCACGGGTACACCTCTCCAACTGAAATTTATTTTGTTTGCTTTACTCCATACCACGATATCTCGAGCCCATCGGTCTCTTTGCCTTCTTTGACCGTCATGGCATACACTTAGTATCTTTTTCTAGTGCTGGCTGCCAAGCAACAGAATGCTCCATTGACCTGCAAACATCTTCTGACGACCAAAAATCCTACATTGAAACGGGATCACGAAGGCAGCGAAATGGCAACCGCTGAAAACGATAACGAATCCGATACCCCTACGAGACAAAACTCTCCCGACTCTTCCCGCACCAGGACACGCTCCTTATCTGCGGCAAAAATGAAAAGCCAACCCTTTCAGCGAAACGCAGCCACAGCTTCTTCCACCTGGCGGGAATCAATCCTGTACGATGCCGTGGCTGGCCGAGTGACGAGCGACCGGTTCGTCAACGCGAATGCCCTGCCACCGAGCAGTCGGGATGTCGTAACGAGCAGCAAGTTGAGCGTGCCGCCTGAAGAAGTGTTGTTTCGTCGGAAAAACGCGCCGACGCGATACGCGGAGAACGATATATATTTTGCCGCCTCGTCTGCACTTGACGGCTCTCTACACGAGGGAGACAGTAGCCACGGCGGTCTTCCAAGCTCGGACCTTTTAAAGGCGATCCATAGCTACACTGCAGATTACTATGACCGGGATCGCACCGGAGGAGGGAAAGCCCTGGCGGATTGGAAAAGTATGGACGAGACTGCGCTGCTGGCCATGGGCATCTTGCTTGAAGAAGCGGCAAAGGCGTCGCTGGGCGACGCAGGGGATTTGGTATTCGTCGAGGGTGAGGAAGATGCTGATGCGATGAGAAGATTGCAGGAGGAAGAGGAAGAGAAAGAGGAGAAGAAGAGGCGGGCAGAAGAGGAACACGCGACAGAAGAAGCAGTTGCCCATGGATCTGGAAAGGGAAATAAGAAGAGGAAGAGAACACAGGAAACGAAGAAAAAAGAGAAGCGAAGGAAGAGAAGTGCCCCATCAGAATCTACTCGTGACCCTTTTTCGGGAGCGGACAGCGATTGATCAAACTCGATCGGCGACTCTGGAGTAGTCTTTTTTTTTTTTTTTTTTCTTTTTACCTTGGACCTGAATACGATTTCCGGGTCCACCATCTGGACGGGATTAGAAGGGATCCCAAAGGCGCTACACAGCTCTTGTAATTTCATGGAAACGGACCGGCGTTGAAAAACGGATTCAGTTGGATAAATGGACTTGAAAATAGGAGTTTATTGAGAGCATAAATGGGATATCGTTTCCATTTGGCGTTGGAGATACCCACCATGTCAAACGACACTCCCCCCCCCTTCTTTACAGCTCGGACACTCTGGGAATCTGCTTCTATAACTGATGCTAAAGGGATCTTGGCTATATCATTCAAATCCAAAACTAATCCTGGTATCATCTAACCTACACAACGCCGATAACTCCAAAACATAATAGGGAAAGCCATCAACAGACTATTTACAAGTTGACGATGACACCTTTAGGCAATTCTTGATAGTCTTCTAGGTTGTTAACGCGATCGCCAACCATGACTGTCGGATGCTGTGCAGACTGCGACTTGATCGCGGACGGCAAATGGCACGAATGCTGGCCAAAGAATATCTTGCCATCAAATCTACGAGTCTTTGCCAAAGTTGAAAACGGTTCTTCGTTCTTCTCGGCAGTCTTCTGATCAATGCAAACCATTTGGCACCGGCGACAGGACCCCAATATCTGGAATAGCTGTGTTCCAATCTGCAAGAACCGCCAACTGTCCTCGACATATGGGCTCTCGTTCCCATATGCTGAAGGTTCTTCTGAAACAACAATATTTGCACGGAACACCTCGGCCTGTGCGGCTTTCCCTCCTCTCTCTTTTATTTGCTCGTTTAAGCGGTTTAGGCTTGAGCGAGATATTATCAAAAGCGGACTCTCATTAGAGAAGAGGATCGGTCTCTTGACTATGGACTGTCGAGACTCGGAATGAGGAAAAGATCCTGGGACTTGCTCAGGCAATGAAGCAACCTGGTACGGCTGCAGGTGTGCCTTGGAATACCTCATCGAAGGGCCAGGCGCATCAGATGGAAACCGCGCAAGCGTGCATGGGATACCGATTGCTTTGGTGAAGAATTCCGATACCTCGGGCAAGTTAGACATATGGGCTGTGACCATATCACCACAAACCTGTGTAGCTTGGCCATTCGAACCAGTGCCGATACCAAAGTATTTGGGGTCAGCTGACAACGGTACTGCAATCTCTTGAGAAGATTCCGGTTCCGCTGCCTTGGCATCATACAGCCGCACTCGTAAGACACCCTTCGTGAAATCGATACTCGGACGGATCAATGCCATACGTGGGTAGCGCTTTTGACTCAAGGCAGCGCCGGTTCCCTGGTGAACAAGGCACCATTCCCGATCCCAAGCCAATCCTTCGCCTCTAATATCCCATGGCGTCTTCGGTGGTACTTTCCAACCAGCACAACTCTTGATCGGATAAATTGTTAGAGACTCGACAGTGAAATGCCCTTCTGATGTTCGAGGTATGCTCGAAGATGAAAACGTTTGGTCCAGAAATACCTTTGATTCGACAAAATATTCTCTGATAAAGGAAAGGAACTTCTCGACGTCAGCTTGGGTACTCATGGCGCCAAAGCTAACACGGGCGACCCCGGTGGGCTTTCCGCCCATGATATCATTTTCGGCTGCGCAACGCTGGCCTGCAGAGAAATTGCGTTTCATTTCCCAAGGCGCAAGCTGAAGAGCTGAAGCAATACCTCCTGGGTTGCAAACTCCGCCAGTTCTCAGCTGGATTGATTTGATAGCAGCCAACTTTTCGAGTTCAGTGTTACTGATCCAAGCTCCGAGGCTATTTCGTATGTTGAAGGCAATTATTGGGCCTTGACTTTGGGGATCGCCATATGTCGAAGTCGAGTCTTTATAGATCGCGCAAACCGGCTCGCCATTCCCGTGTCTCAACGCTGACAGCTCATCATAAAGTCTGCGAGCAAGGCGTGCTGTATGTGAAGAAATCTTCTCCAGCGAGCAAAAGATTGATTCATGGGTATCAAGAGCGGCGTCCAAAGCAAGTATGCTGTGAATTGGCAGTGTACCGTCTTCTAGTTGCTCATGAAGATGCCGATCTTTGCGCGCATGCCATTGTTCTTGCAATGAGACGACCATATCGACCGTGCCACCGCCAAAGTACCTCCTTTGTTGGAGAACCTGTCCCGCTTCTTTTCTCAAGATAAGAGCGCCGAGATCTGGAAACCCAAATATCTTATAGAAGCTGACGACAGTAAAGTCCGGAGCCTTTGCAGAATTGCTCAAGTCCAGAGGAGAAGTGGAGACGAGTGCAGCGGCATCAAGCAGCGAAAAGGCACTCCTGTGTCCTACTGCGGCGGATTCCCGAAGGCGCCGGCACCAATCTAATGGAAGTCGCCTCCCATTCATGTTTGATTGTCCTGGGTATGCAAATAGTTCCAGACCGTCATTTGCTCCCTGACCGTCTTCTGCCATCTGTGCTATCCATCTTTCAACTTCACTGTCCGAGGTGAAACACCTTTGCCCGCAAGTCGCCGTTTCTCTTACTCCGACCAAACTAGTGTGGGAGTCTTTATGATATCCAAACCAAAAGCCTTTGGGATGCGCCTGGAATCCCTCCATCACTAGTTTGATACCAGCGGTGGCATTGGCCACAAAAACCACGTCGAATTCTGCAGGGTCTGCGTTGAAAAGACGAAGAACTCGCAATCGCACATCTTCAATTCTTTGAGTAGACAACTGTGACGAAGGCGATGCGGAATGAGGGTTTCCGAAAAGGTTGGACATCATATCGGTGGAGAAACGCTCGATAAGCGCTTTGGCGAACGGAGTCGTCCCAGCATAGTCTAGATAGGTCGTGTCTTTCAAGAGATTAATTAGAGACATTCAAAGTGGATACGGTAAAATATATACCTTGAAGCATTGGATATTGTTCCTTTCTGATCAGATCAATATCTTGCGGGTAGCACCTTGAGCTTGGACACTGCGCTTTGGTTTCAGTTGGCTTGGGCCAACGAAGGCCCAAACTGTCCCGATATTCTGCGAACATGGTCACAGCTCTGTATTCTCACAATAAAGAAAGAGGAAAGTAGAGGCGAAGTGGAAGTTCGATTGAATTTCTTGTCAGCGGTATGAATTTCCTCAATATATGAAATCAATCGTTCGGTAGATCTCGGTGAGCTCCATTGCCTCCCAAACACAAAAACAAATGCATTGATTGGCAATGCCAATATGACAGTGGTTTTTATGGACTATGCGATATATGGACCCGTGAACTGATATGACTCCTCGTTTCCCAAAGCAATTCAAAGAGTATAATGAAGAGCAGAAATAGGTCTGAGGCGCTGTCAAGCCAAGTAGATAAGGCAAGAGTGGGAGAGTTGGAAAGTACCCCGACGGGCGAGATCCGAAGGCAAACTCCGACGCGGGTATCTCACAGAAGAAGTAAGGCACCCGTTCAGCGACAGCACTTCTCTAGCCAAAGGTGGGGTGTAGCTCCATAGTTATTGGCCTTAGCCCCGCAGACCAATTATCCTTTGCCGGGTGAGTGGACAAGTCGTCCGCTCTACCCGACTCGAGGGAGACAAGCCATGGTTTAGTCAGTGCACTTTCTATTAACTTAGTGCATCCCTATGAGAAAGAGCATAATTGTAATGATTAGATCGCCCTAAAAGATGAGTGAGAAATGCCGTGTGATATCAGAATTCAAGAGTAGCAATGCCAGGCCGGTCTTACAAAGTCTCTTCTTCACCAAACAAGCTCTATCGATAAGTTTGTATGCCCTTATATATCAAGATAACGAAACCTACTACGGGTTGAAACTATCGCGATTTGAACCGGAAAATGGTTACTACAGTGTGCGCCTTAAAAAGGCCATCGATTCATAGCGAAGCAAAATTCTTTTATTTCATCTGTAAGTCATAAATAACCTGTCTATCAGACAATCTGACTCTACCCAAGGCTGCGCTCGAGCCTTGAAACTTGAAGCATTAATTACATGTATAAATCACGTCGTGCGAAATGGCAAAAAGATGAGCAATGGGGAAAAGTATGTGCATGAGCTCTTTTTCCCCACAAAATAGCACTATGGGACAGGTGTTAATGGAAATGGCTTTCGGAAGGGTATTACCTAGGGCACCAGACAGGAGCCCCTAATGCTGCGAACTCTGAGAGACGAACATTCAGCACAAGCTTTTATTTTCGAAAAGCAAATGATGAAAGCCTACCTCTATCGTCGGAAGAGAAGAATCGCATTCCTACGGTTGATAGAATCTCGCGTAGAGGTTCTCCCCTCTCCGAGTGGCTGAATCGTCAACAGGCACGCCAGAGTGACCATTTTCCATTGCTAGCCGCGGATCTGCGCTCAGCGGCTTACCATCCTCGGTGATTTTGGTTTTAGAAATTGTTTGGATCGAGAGAGGCCTGGAAAGCAATAAATTGTTAACAATTGGAAACCTAGTGGGGGTTCATATAGGGTTTGTTGGCAAAGCACTCCAACGGTGTGATCTAGGGATTGCGACGGGGAAAACGAGAAGAACGCCATGTGCGATAGTTTGCCTAAGTATCTCCATTGGAAAGCAGTGAAGGCGAGAGTTTCTGGGAGGGTTCGTCTTTAATCACTTCAATAATGTGAGGTATTCGTTGAAGAGGAATGCGCATGGAAGGAGAGGAAGCGGTTTGGTAAGTATCGACCAAAAGATGGGGAAATAATGAGTAATCGTCCGCCTTCATGAACTTACCCGTTCACCTCACGATCAAGGACCAAATACTCCTTTGCGGCGTCCTTTGTTCCTCTTTCCAGCAGATATACCATGTAGTAGTGAGTAAGGTCTTTAATAGTTGACGGAGGAAGGTGTGAATGTAGGCGGATATCGTCAGCAACCTGTTTGATCCGAGGATACTGAACGGACTCGGTTTCGCCGGTAGTGGGCTGTTCGAGTTCAAAGAGCAGGTAGTTTATCCAGAAATGCCGACTATCGAGGTAGGCCTGCTGATTCTTGTGGAACACTTGACGCGCTTCTTCGGTTGCACCCTTTATTTTCCACAAAAGGCGTGCCCATTCAGCCACGAGCGCCGCTTTACTGTGTGAATCACATTCCGGTGAGTCTATGTGGATTTTATAGATCTCAATGGCAGCATTTAATCCTTCGTGTCGTCTCTGGAGGTTTGCCCATGAGACTATAGTCTCCACGTGGCCAGGCAAGTTGAAAAGAATTGCCTCATGGATGGCTTGAGCGACGTCGACCCTTCCCGACATTTCTTCAAAGTATGCGTACTGCAACCGAATTGCAGGTTGAGCGATAGGCACATATAGAGCACTTGCTCGCTGAAAAATGTTTCTGACTTCCTCTGCCTTTCCTTCTTGAGCCTGCATCCATCGCGCATATCTAAGCCAGAATTCATCGTAGTATGCGCAGGTGACCAAGCACCGCTCATAAAGGAACTGAATCCGTGAATAATCACCCTCAGCTTCCTCGAAATCAAGATATTTACGCCAGTTAGCCAATTGCCCTTCGTCCAGGTCTGTAACGTGGAAGTAAGGTCGCTTGATTTCAGACTCATAAGTCCATCTCTTAGTTGTCTCGGTCTGGGTTCGAGTGAAGATTTCTAGATGGTGACTGTCGATTCGGAGACGGAGATCTCTCTCAATCTCGATAGGGGCCTTTTCGACTTTCATCGGTGCATTCTGCATTTCAAGTTCAGCGCGGAACCGTGCGAGAACTTCGACAGGCACGAGTTCTTCCAGTGGTCGATTTTGGGCGAGCTGTCGATATCGTTCAAAGTACCGAGCGTACTGGTGCATTGGTATATGGACAATGCGATCAAGGATGGCGAATATCTTATCGAAGGCTTCTACTCTTTCCTCAAATTCGAGGTATTTGTCCCAGAATGGGTGAGCGAGAAAATCAAGGCCTACACAACTGGCGCCCCGTTCAAAAAGCCTATTCAAGAAGTTCAATGTCAGTATCAAATTGAAATGCAAAAGGGGGGAGTGGGAAGGAAGTGGGAAGGACAGCAAACATGAGCGCATGATCTAAGCTTTCCGCCTCCGCCGGTCATGCTGCCAAAGGCAGCACACGACTCTATCTCGAGGTTACGCGCTTGGCAGAAAAGAGAAGTGTTCCTGGGTGCCATGCGTGAGAAAAGAGCAATTGGGGGGGGCTGTTCATTGCGACTCTCTCTCACCAAATGAGGAGTTGTCTTTGATATTGTAATCTGCTCTTTCTTGGCAGGGTTCGTGCTGCAAGAATCATGGTTACGTCGGAGGAAAAATCGCCAGTAAACTTACTCTCGGATGACGTCGGGATCATGATTTGTGTCCATTTTGAATGCACAGTAATTCGTCCACAAATCCACGGAGGAAGTTATGCTCGCAATCCCTCGCTCATATACCTGTTCGAATTAGCAAGCCATTTCAAAAGAAGTCAGTAGATATTTACCATTTCTGCAGCTTCAGTGCCTGCGATAGAAAACTCGAGATCCGCATATTTCTTCCAGTATCCGAAGAGGAGAGGAAATTTGGCGAGAAATCCGTCATAGATATTCCTCGTCGAAGATATTGATTGAGGGCTGGAATTCCGATTCAAACCGCCTTCTTGGGATTCAGCAGCTCGAACCAACTTCTCCCAATTCTCAAAATTATCGGAATCTTCCAGCTGCAGATGAGAGCATTAGTATAGAATTTCGATACAGGTGGGAATCGATGCTTACTACATCGGCGTGAAGCTTTCTCAGTTCGGCATTCTCTTCCTCAGTACCGCCGAAATGAAAGTCCGCCATATTTGAGCAGATGAGGTCTAATTCAGGTGATCTGATCTAAATGGAAAGGAAATAGATTTGATGGACGGTGATCAGCGACTTGGAACTGCGATTGTCAAGTAAATGGTAGTAGAGCTGAACAACTAAAATGCCAAGTCGCTGCACATGTTCGCTGATTATGTAATCTGAGATGGTGCTGAAGCGTCACTCAACCTCGTTTTTGCCCCGGAAACGGCTGTCTTCAGCAAAAGCCATTTGTGGACTGAATTCTCCTCTTCCCTGAATTACAAGTTGGTCTATTTGTCTACCAGTGAATTCTCTTCTGAAATTTTCACTGAATTTACCATGTTTATATATAATACATTCTTTAAACAGATACTTTTTACATTTCCTTCTTTCTTCATTCTCTTGAAATCATCCATGCAATAACGTAGGGCATTAATTGAGTCAGTAAAGGCCATAGAGGTTTTTGTATCATTCAATAATAGACCTTCTCCACAGAACCTGCAATGACTTCTGGAAAACTATCCGATTGCTCTGCATTGATGATCTTTTGCTTTGCGACCCTTGCAAATAAATGCAGGTGCAGCGATCGCTTGTTTTCCTTTCTCTCCCGTGCTACGGGATGAGAACCGGTAGGACTGATTGATTACATGGTCATATTTAATTTTCTATTAAGTGTAGTCAATATTTCTCGACCTATGTCACCCAACTGAAATGCTAGGAAGGTCGTACACACTCAGTAGTAGTGACAATGGAACCACACCAGAAAATCGCAAGCAGCTTTGGACAATTTCTTGAGTCTATAAGCCACAAACCAATACTTGCCTTTACACATGCTCAGCTGCATGGTGGGCTTTGATGTGTTTGGAGCTCCTTGTGCTTTCGAAAGGCTTGAAATGTGGACGAGCCGTGACATTCGAGAGGTTCACGAAAGAATATCGATGGCAGAGTATTGTGAAGTAAATATCCTGACTTTGCCGTTGAGTTTGCAGATGGCTACCAGCCACCCTTTCCGCCAAATCCGCTGCTCTCTTCTATCTTCTTCTGAGATCCTCGTTGAGGCTTTTGCTGGGCAGCTTCGTGCTTACGAAGCTCCTCAGGGACCCGAGAAATTGACGATTTCATCAGCATTTGCTTTAAGTCATACCTGTTCGGAATGCAATCGTCAGCGGATTCACAGGCATTGGATGACACGAATAGAAATAATAGGCAGGTACTTACATAACATCGGCATCCTCACTGCCAAGGAATGTTATGGCAACACCGCTTTTACCAGCACGACCTGTACGACCAATCCGGTGAGTGTAGCTTTCAATATTGGTAGCCATGTTGAAATTTACGACCAGACTAACGTCAGGCACGTCGATACCTCTACCAGCAAGGTCGGTGGCAACTAAGACATCCGTCTGCCCAGAACGAACGGATGCTAGGGCTGTCTCTCTCTGGTCCTGAGTTTTGCTTCCGTGGAGCGTCACAGAGGAAAATCCCATGTGCTTGATATCCCGGGCAACCGCGTCGCAATTGCGTTTGATATTGACAAAAACAATAATTGGCGGATGGAACTCCCTGGATGAAAGAATTTCGGCAAGTCTTTTCTTTCTCTTATCCTCTCCAGCGACAAATTCAACCCGCTGTTCTACGGTTTCAACAGCTTCGCCAACGTTTCCAATAGTCACAATGGCAGGTCTTCGCAGGTACTTTCGCGCTATTCTCTCCACTGCCGAGGGCATGGTCGCTGTGTACATCATGGTCTGTCTATATCGATCTTTCCCACCAAGATGTCGACTCATTGCAACCGCGTTTTCGGCGTCGTCAGAGTCGGGCTTTTCGTTTGCGACTGGTAAAGCATCCAGAATTTTATTCACCGGATCCTCGAAGCCAAGATCGATCATCCTGTCTGCCTCGTCCATGATTACGTAGCAACATTGACTCAGGACAAGAACTCGACGCTCAATGCAATCCACTAGACGGCCCGGCGTGGCAATAATGATCTCTGCTCCGTCACGAAGACTGTAGGCTTGCTCTTCAAGAGAGTGGCCACCTACAATACTCACGCAAGTGAAACCAAGAGGCGTCGCAAATTTCTTCGCTTCGATCTCAATTTGCTGAGCCAGCTCTCGCGTTGGTGCCAATATAATGGCATAAGGACCATCATTCTTTGTCAGTTCATTGAGCGCCGGTAACTCGGAAATATAAACGAGCAACGGAAGTAAGAAGGCTGCTGTCTTGCCGGATCCTGTAACTGCGACACCAATGAGATCCCTTGATTGAAGAGCAATTGGAATCGCTGCACGTTGGACAGGAGACGGGTCCACATAGCCCACCTGATCGACTATATCGAGCAGACGTCTCGGTAGCCCAGATTCTGCCCAAGAGCGCATAGGATTTGGGATGGATCCGCCCTTTGTGCTGATGTTGAAGTCTTCTTTGAAGATCCGCCAATCTCTCTCGCGCATAAGTTCCAAAGGCTTTTCACTCCAATGTCTATCAAGCATATGGCGACCGCCTTCCTCCTTCCTTCTCCTTTCCATTTCAAGAAGTTCTCTTGCTCGAAAGCTTCCAGCATCACGATCTCGTTCTTCGAGCGCTCTTGCGTATTTCTTCACGCCCCCTTCAACCACGTCGTCTGCAAAGCCGCCCAAACGGCCGCGCCCGTAGAAATTCGCTTCGGATCGTGTCTGATATAACGGACTGTGATCCGCGCTTGTATCTTCTTCTGCATTCCATTCGAAGTTGAACTTTCTCTCGGTGGTTCTTCTTCGCTTCTTCTTCGCGGAAAAGGTAGAGGTGTTGGTATCAGCGCCCATATATCGTTGTCGAATCAGTGCTGCTTCAGCATCTTCAGTAGGCGGTCGTTTCTCTAATTGTTTCGATGATTTTCCGAAGGAAATCGGCTTCGGTGGGGGGGGCGGAACCATGTCGTATCCTTTATTGGGGAGCGACGATCGCATTGCAGCTGGGCCTGTCGGTATTTCGCTTTGTCGCAAAGCCCTTGGGCCTGTCGGCACAACAGAGGTTCCATTGACATCCGCAACTTTGGTATTTGGGGTTCCATTGGACGGCAGCGGAGTCCTAGAGCCGGAGCTAAGATCGGAATCTGTCCTCTTCTTTTGCTCCTCGACTGTCTTTGCCCTTTTTTCAAGCGCTAGCTTCTCTCGCTGAGCTTTGGATAGGAATTTGGGCTATGCCGAAGAATGAATATTAGTAGAAATGATCACATATAAAATATATTGGAGAACGCGACTTACTTTGGCGGCAGCCGCGTCCGCTTCTCTCTTCTTCCTCAAAATTTCTTCTATGCTAAGAGGAGTCTTTGCCGGCTTAGAACCCCATCCAGATTTTGTTTTTTTGGTAGAAGCCTCCGCTGAATTTGGTACTGCGGCTTCTGTTGGCGGAGATGATGGCGGTGGCGGAGGATGGGAAAGCTCTTCTGGCGGTGGTGGTGCCGGGGGGGCGAGAGTGTCAGGCGGCGGAGGAGGTGGAGGTATCGAATGTGCGTCTGAATTTGGCGGCGGCGGAGGTGGAGGGTGCAACGCAGACGTTCCATCAACGTCTTCCTTCATTTTGGCAGAAGTACGAATAGCTGTCCCAGTAATGACGATCTTGGATTGGAGACGGTCTCTCCCAGGGTTATACTTTATTGCGCTCACGCGCGGGTAGCATGGTAGACGCCATTGGCGCTGATTGTCTAGGCGCCTGCTCGCTAGCCTCAGCTTACTCCGATACGCTGGATTCAGTCGCGGCGTGGACTGGTTGGCTGCCAGCACGAAAGGGAGTTATGAAAGTTGATGTGTCCGCTGCGATCACATTAAATAAACAGTTTAATTAATTATTTTTTTTGGATAACCAAATATACATTAGTAGATTTATTGATCAGATCTAATACGTTAATGTATGAAAAGCCCGGCTAATAAACAGGAATTAGTGGGGAAATAAAAAAAAGGCGCCCAAAACCTTGGCTAAAGTCTGGGAATTTGATGAATGATTCAACGCAACTTTGAGTTTAGGAACATCTGGCACTTATATAACTTGTCTGTCGTCAAAGTCAGATATATATCATCGCTGATTTAACCCGACAATAAGAATAAGAAGATAGGAAATCGATTCAAATTTGAAGACAGAGGTCGGATTCAGGTCATCGATTAAAACTCTCTTCTCCTTCTCCCCTTTTGCTATCTCAAGTTCTGATATGAAGTTTGCACGTTTTCTGCAATTTGTGCCGAAGCCGGCGAAGGTTGCATTGTCCCAACACCTCACTGAGCCTCTCAAGGGCGTGTTGATGTTTGATTGGGCCTGGATATTCCGTACATGATATTTTGGGCGTTACATTGCATGATTGCAGCGCCAGTACCATTGCTGCATGAGGAAGCAAATCAGAAGTCCCATATCTAGGTTAATACTAATTTGAATTATGCTGAAAGCGCTATCGGCTCTCCCGCCTACGCGGTCAATTGCCATTACTCTAGTGATAATGTCCCGATTTTCCTATGGTAGCGCATCCACGGCTCCTAGGGAGCAGGATGAGCACCTCAAACGTACGGTGATTTTGTCTTGCAAGCAAAGACGAAAGAGTCTAGAACAACCAATACTTCGGCGGAGAGATCTAGAAGCATTGGAAGGACTAGCTTGCGTGTTGAATGAATTTTCATCATGATTAACATGATATCAACGACCTAGCAACAAAAGCAGCCTGATAAAACTCGTATTGAAATCAACAATTTGCATTGCCTGGCAGAATTAGAATGGAAAGGAGGAGAAAAGAGAAATGAACTGATCAATGACTGAACTGTATTGATCCATTATGTTGAAAGCCAGTGCCAGGTACAATTACTCGAACTGGATCGAATAATTGGGTGGCACAAGCCACTCTGCTGTGGACATGCATGACCTACGAAGATGGTAACCGCTGATCCTCGAAAGGGTTTTGCAGCAAAATTTCGGAATTTATACTCTTGCATCCGAGAGCTGCAAACGCTGCAAACTTTTGCAATTGTTAGTTTGGTGCCAAGCTCGGATGCGGCACGGTGCGCGTGAGGGTATGTGCTGCTTTCCCCAGTGAAGCACAGTAGGGTACCGAGTAGGTGCAATACCACTGTACGTACACTACTGTATGCCTACCCAAACGATCAGTCCGATCTCCCTGCAACGCTGTCGATTGCCTCCCTGACATAGCACCACCCTTCATTGCTCCTCCCTCATCCACAACCCCACCTACAGTCGATGCGTGCTTTCCGCCCCAGTCTGATCCAGCGCACCTTTGCCCAAGGTTCCAGGAGATCTTTAAGCAGCGCATCCCTTTCTAGAGTTTCGGCTCTTCATCCTGTAGCGCCTACACGAACCCAGCGTGTCGCTCCCTCACGTGCTTTCATTCAATCTAAAAAGACAGCTTTGGTCCGCCACTGTTCGTGTCAACGAGCCATGTGCAGATCTCACGGTGCCGCTGATATTAGCGGCGGTATGCACGTCACTCAGGGCAGAGTTGTTCTGCCCACCAATGTCAAGCCTGTACACTATGATCTCACGCTTGAGCCTAACCTCGAGGACTTCACCTACAAAGGCACCGTAATCATTGAGTATAGATGGCCCTTACGATGATTTACACTGACATGAGCTCAATTCACTAATTGCTGAACATTTTAGTCTTGATGTGGTTGATGACACGACTTCAATCTCTCTGAACACTCTCGAAATTGACATTCATAGCACCAAGGTTACCTCTGGTTCAACGCTGATCAGCTCCTCGCCCAAGCTATCCTACAATGAAGACACGCAGACTACGACCGTGTCTTTTGACAAGACCATTCCAGCTGGGTCCAAGGCCCAGTTGACCCAAACCTTCACCGGAATCTTGAACGACAAGATGGCTGGTTTCTACCGGTCTTCCTACAAAGGCAGTAACGGCGAAACCAAGTACATTGCGACCACCCAGATGGAACCGACTGACGCGAGAAGATCATTCCCAAGTTTCGATGAACCGGCACTCAAAGCCAGTTTCACAATCACTTTGGTCGCTGACAAGCATCTCACTTGTCTGAGCAATATGGATGTCGCTGCGGAAAAGGAGGTCGACTCAGCATTCGGCGCAGGCAAGAAGAAGGCTGTCACTTTCAACAAGACGCCTTTGATGTCAACATATCTCCTTGCCTTCATTGTCGGCGAGCTTAAGTGTATCGAGACAAACAACTTCAGAGTCCCGGTCAGAGTATTTGCTACCCCGGACAAGGACATCGAACACGGGAAATTCTCGGTAGAACTTGCGGCAAAAACGTTAGACTTCTACGAGAGAACATTTGACAGCAAATTCCCGCTTCCAAAAATGGACATGGTTGCTATCCCGGACTTCAGTGCAGGCGCAATGGAAAACTGGGGATTGGTTACCTACCGTGTTGTTGACCTCCTTTTCGACGAGAAGACTAGCGGTGCGTCAACGAAACAGCGCATTGCTGAGGTCGTGCAGCATGAGCTTGCCCATCAGTGGTTTGGCAACCTGGTCACAATGGATTTCTGGGACGGTCTTTGGCTCAATGAAGGTTTTGCGACATGGATGTCGTGGTACTCGTGCAACGCTTTCTATCCCGAATGGAAGGTATGGGAAAGCTATGTAACCGACAACTTGCAAAGCGCTTTGTCTCTCGATTCGTTGCGAAGCAGTCACCCCATTGAGGTACCAGTGAAAAGGGCAGACGAGATCAACCAGATATTCGATGCCATCTCATACTCAAAGGGTTCTTGTGTCCTCCGCATGATTTCGAAATATCTTGGAGAGGATGTCTTCATGGAGGGAGTCCGACGTTATTTGAGAAAACATGCCTATGGAAACACTAGCACGAGCGATCTTTGGGCTGCTCTTGGCGATGCTAGCGGCAAAGATGTGGAGAAGGTGATGGACATCTGGACCACGAATGTCGGCTACCCTGTCGTCTCTGTGACTGAAGATGCCAAGTCGAGCTCGATTCATGTGAAGCAAAACCGTTTCCTCAGAACTGCTGATGTGAAGCCGGAGGAGGACCAGACCTTGTTCCCCGTCTTCCTTGGCGTACGTACCAAGGATGGTGTTGACGAAGAAGTGACCCTCTCCGGGCGGGAGTCGAATTTCAAGCTTGGTGATCTCGATTTCTTCAAAATCAATGCTGACCATTCCGGAATTTATCGAACTTCCTACAGCCCAGAGCGGCTTCAAAAGCTTGGCCAGGCAGCAAAGAAGGGCCTGTTGACAGTTGAGGATCGAGCTGGCATGATTGCTGATGCCGGTGCTTTGGCCGCTTCAGGCTACCAGAAGACTTCTGGTATTCTTGGACTTCTCCAAGGATTTACGGATGAGACCGAATTCGTTGTGTGGGACGAGATCACTACTAGGATTGCTACGATCCGCAACGCCTGGATCTTTGAGGAGGAGCCGGTAAAGGAGGCCTTGAAGAGTTTCCAGCGGACTCTTGTGAGCGACAAAGCTCACAAGTTGGGATGGCACTTTGAAGAAAGCGACGGTCATATCGAACAGCAGTTTAAGAGTCTTCTCTTCGGTTCCGCTGCTCTTGCTGGCGACCAGCGAATCATTGATGCGGCGTTTGAGATGTTCCAGAAATTCTGCGCTGGTGATAGAAAAGCCATCCATCCAAACCTCCGTGGAGCAGTTTACAGCATTGTTCTCCAAAATGGAGGCGAGAAGGAGGTATGTCATTTCATTCCTCTCCTGATATCAAAATTTTCAAAGGCATTTTTAAGAGAACTAACGGGCATTGATGCAGTACGATGCAATCCTCAATGAGTATCGCACTGCGAAGAACAGCGATGAGCGTAACACAGCGCTGCGCAGTCTCGGTCGCGCACGCGAGCCATCATTGATCCAGCGCACTCTCGCTTTGCCGCTCTCTGACGAAGTAAAGGAGCAGGACATTTACCTTCCCCTTGGTGGTCTCCGCACTCATACTGCAGGTATCGAAGCTCTTTGGAAATGGATGAGGGACAACTTTAGCACCTTGGAAGCGAAGCTGCCTCCGGGTCTTTCCATGCTCTCTTCGGTAGTCCAAATCTGCACTTCTAGCTTTACGAAGGACGAACAGAAGAAGGAGATTGAAGACTTCTTCAAAACAAGAAGCACGAAAGGATTCGATCAGGGCCTTGCCCAGAGTCTTGATGCAGTCCGTGCCAAATCTAATTGGCTCAAGCGGGATAACGAGGACGTCCAAGAATGGCTCAAGAAGAATGGTTACTTTGGAAAGCAGGCTGAAGGTAGATTGTAGGGTCATTGGTTGTGAAAAGCGATCACAATTTGAAGTCGTAGATGGCCGCATCTCATGCGTGGTAAAGCTTTGCCAGCACCTTGTAAATTAGTACATATACGCATAACGTTGTGTGAAGTAGATTCAACTGTCGAAAAAAATCAAAAAGCTCTTCTAGAGATGGGTAACCACCAGGATTTTCAAGGAAAACAAGAAAAACCCCTGCCATGAGGTGGGCATGGCTCGATTATTTGCACTGTCGCCCTCGTGTCATTCAAGCCGGGGTTTAAGTACTTGTAGATTATTCGCATCGACTTCGGGGCGCAACAGAAGCCAATTAGGAATAGCTTCATTTCTCCAATCCAAAACTTTGTTCGAAGGACGGATACATCTTCTTCAGCGCATAAACGGCTTCCCCAGCATGACTGGACCTCTCGCATCTGATGCGCCGAGACATTATGATGTTCTTGGTATCTGTTCGCCATTGCTAGGCCAGAAACTTTCAAGCTTAGACATCAAACAAGCATATAGGCGGGCCCTTCTTCTTCACCATCCAGACAAGTCCAAAAACCTCACGCCAGATGAATCGGAACGACAATCCAAATTTTCAATTGATCAAATTACACACGCCTATAAAATTCTCATAGATCCGGTCTCACGCGCTGAATACGACCTGTCGCTACGGTTGCAACCGGAATCATCCACAAATGGCAGTCAGATCATCTTTCATTCTGGACTTGAGACGGTTGATCTCGACGACCTAGGTTTCGACGACTCGCAAGATATTTGGTACCGAAGCTGTCGGTGTGGGGAAGCGCGAGGCTTCGTATTGCATGAATCGGATCTTGAAAAAGACGCCACACTTGGAGAAGTTGTCATCGGCTGTCGAGGATGTAGTCTCTGGCTCAAGGTCCTGTTCGAAGCCATAGAGGCTGCTGAGGGAGAGGGAGAACAGGATCACGAAACAAATGGTTGAACTTATCTTTGATTCGGCGACGATCAATCCCAAGGGTGATTTATCGTTGCATGTCAAAGCTTTGTCAAGAGCATTTCTCCTCCGATCTGGGACACGCGAATAAACTTGTGGCTCGATACCCACATGCTATGCCTCACTTGATGTGCGGAAAATTCAGAACACGATTGACCACTGGAGTCATTCGAATTCCTTATTCCATCAATCGCCATGACTCAAGGCACGTTCCGAAGCGGCGCGATGCGATCGATGCAGATTCCATCAACCCGCAGATGCCCCCAGCTTGGCTTTCATAACGCCTATAAACTATCAGCGCATGAATCACCATCTTCCAAAATAGAAGAAGGTATGCTAAGCACCCAACATGGTCTCATGGCATGGAGGCAACAGTCGGCACGTAATTGTATGCATCATGAGGATCAAGCATAATGCAAAGAGGGATTCGCAGTGGCTTTGAAATACATCACCACCTGAAATCATTTCAGCGTGGACAAAGAAGCAAGGAAATGCCTATATATCATCTAGATAGATTTTGCGGTAAACAATGTTTTTGTACAATAAATTATCACTTTTTCCATTTAATTATATACAACCTGGTCAAGCTCCGTTCTGACATGTTGACGTCTGCCTATCGGGTGTTTAGCGAAACATGCCAATGCCGAGATTATATGAACAGCGAACAGCTTCAACCATCCTCCATCGGCCGACCTGCGGGATATCCTTGTATTTTGGCATCCCTGGATCCGTTATCTCCTGCCATTCAAGATGTCGAAAACGATTCAGATAACCTCGCCCGCGGAATTCGCCTCCTTGGTGTCATCGTCGGCCATTGTGGTCGCTGATTGTAAGCTGATCACCCCGCAATATATACCCCGCCATCCGTTCACCAGAACTCCACGAGATATCTTGAACCCAACCCTGCCCGATGCTAATTTTGAATCAAAATAGTCTACGCCGACTGGTGCGGACCATGCAAGACGATCGCTCCAATGTATGAGGAGCTGTCGGCCCGACTCTCCCGCCCGAACAAGATCACTTTCGTTAAGGTGAACGTGGATAATCAGCAGCAAATAGCACAGACCTATGGCATCACTGCGTAAGATTGCCATTTGCATGTTTTTTTGGAGATTAAGTCAGTGCCTTGCTGGATTTGATAAGCTAACCTTGGTTACCAGTATGCCAACTTTCAAGGTGTTCAAGAACGGCAACGTCGTTTCGACCGTACAGGGTGCTGATCCGAGAAAACTCTCCGAAGCGGTCAAGAAACTTGCCGCAGAAGCGGAATCTACAGGGCCTTCGACTGGCGGCTTCGGTGAATCAAGTGGAAGCGGAAAGTCATGGCTTGGCGCAAGCCTGCCTCGGGGATACCGTGATGTTACGGACGAGGTCGATCTGAAGGGCCTTGACATTTTGAATTCGGACAGCGAATTCGCTGGCGTCAGAACCCTTTTTGACTTGTCTAAGCCCTCCAGTGTTGCGGCAGCAGACAGCAAAGGCAAAGGAAAGTCCGAGGGTGGCCAGCAGCAGCGCGACTGGGTAGAGAGCGATACCGATGAGCAACTTATGCTATTTATGCCGTTCCAATCTACACTCAAAGTTCATTCTCTACACCTTACATCGCTACCTGGAGAGCCATCCGATGACAGCGAAGCCGAGGACGAGCTTCCCATGAGACCGAAGACTATTCGCCTTTACACGAATCCCAGCCATGTTCTGGGCTTCGAGGAAGCGGAAGACATTACTCCTACGCAGTCCATTACACTCTCTCCCGAAGACTGGGATGACAAAACCGGTACAGCAAAGCTGGAACTTCGCTTTGTCAAGTTCCAGAATGTTTCGTCCATTGTTCTTTTCATCGTTGATGGTGATGGGGATGGGGATGGGGAAAGGGTCCGCTTAGATCGGGTGCGCATCATTGGAGAGACGGGCGAGAAGCGCGACCCAGGAAAACTAGAGAAGATCGGGGATGAGGTTGGAGAGTGATTTTTCATCCAACTTCACAGCTGCCCGTTAAGCGGAAGCAAGAGTGACGAAATGACGACATCCAATAGATATGAGCATTATTAAGAATATAACACCATTTTGATCTCCTTGACAATCACCCCAAGTTCTTACTCTCACGGCCTATTAGCCAACGGGCTTCATATGGCGCGCCGAGCTTCTCTTGACCGAAATCGACGACACTGAAAGACAATGTCTACTCGTGTCGACACTTCAAAGCTTGTTCGGAACGAGTGAAAATGAAGCAACTTTGGGATTACCACGATACAAGTAGAGTCTGAATATTGAAGCTTTCCCTATTGAGCATCGAAAGAATCGCTACCTGGGTCGCAATGGGGTGATTCTCTCCATAACGGCATCTTGCGGCAGAGAAGAGACGAGTAGTGAAAAAGGTCGGAACTACTGAAAATCCTCGGTCATTGAAACTTTTTCGACGTTTTGGGCTTCAGAAGGTGTCTGTTGAGATCACGTCTCATGCAAGGAGCATGAGCACTCATTCTCTTCCTATTATTTATTATGATTACGGGTATACCGCATCGTTCATCACAAGCCCATAAAGATGAAATTCTTTCGAGATTCCAGCTTTGCAAGAAAATCATCAGAGGCAAGCGAGCCCTGGTTACAGCGCCCCACATGTACCATTAGGGTTAGCGATTTTGCAGAGCCGCAAATCTAGGCGAGCCCTTTAAATTGACCTGCTCCTCCAAGGCTTTTGATTTTTTTTTTTTTTTTCTCTTTACGTGCGGCGGCGCGAGTATTCTCCGTGTTGCTTGTCCATCAATTTATCAATGGTGGTACCATCAAGCGTCTCTTGCGCCACAGAATAAAAATAATTGCAAATCGGCTCTGCTGGCTTATCCGTCCTTGCTGCGCGGCTGGCCGCAGGAGTTTTCTGGTTCGTCCAGAAATCGCTCTTGTTGATCAGTCCAATAGTCAAGGTCGGGCTAGCGGTCGAACAGACTTTTCCCCTCAAACCTTTCTGCTATTTAGCCGTGAACAAGATACCGTTATCAGATACCTACCTAAGGTTCTGGGATGTCAAAGTCTCGACTAGGGCCTGAGAAATCAAATACCCGGAAGCGAATTGTTATACCTTCTAGTGATACCATGGGAAGGGCTCCTAAACAACGATAGCTTCATACCTAGAGAGCTTGACAGTTTTGAGTGGCACCCAGTAAATGCACTACAATTGAATGCCGATACGGCATACCGTGCAACCATTCAACCCACTCTTCTACGTGCCGGGATACCGGCATCAGTCATGATGGAGTTTTTCCGATAAGGGCCCTGTCATGTCTACTGAAGAGAGGCGTTTGTTGGAGTGGTTTCACGCTATCAAGCTAAGAGGCGCGCGAGATCATGACGCCTCTGGTTTGGATATGATGCTATGTCCCTAAGCGATAAGAGGGACCACTATCCGGAAGATAGTGTAAGGGTTCAAACGGCGGATGGTCCATATTAATGATGGTTATAAGAGCAGTGCGGCCGACTATTTCTCCGAGCGCTGGTGTTCGTGAAGAAGATAGGGATCAATAATAACGCTGGATACTGGCATGAGGCAAAGGATCATGCCGAATTCTCCACCGTCAAAGCCGCCTAAGACTCTAGCCGAAGTCTTGCTTTAATGTTAGCTTCCTTTCTTCCGCACCAGTATGTTGTAAACCAGCCCTTAAATCACCAAAGAATCACTGGTATGCTGCAATACTCGCTATTCTCGCTTGAATTTAATGCTACCCGCTCCATCGCTTTTTCTCAAATGTTTTAGACGCCATTGACCCTCATTCGGCTCTAGGGAGATAGACTTGCACTTCTTCTCGACCTCTCTTGACACCATGACGTGCAATTTGAGCTGGCTCATTGGTCCAATGGAAGACAGGCCCTAAGGGGTCCGGCGTCTTTTTCTTCGCACAAAATCAATATCGCCATACGGAGTACGGAGAATTCTAGTGTCAAATGCGAACTCATCGGAGGATATATCGGCGCGTTCTACCAACTATCGTAGTGATTGATGTCAAAGTCATGCAGTAGTATGCGGATCAGACGTGCTTGATAGTGTTGGTATGTAAGTACAGCACAGTACTAGAGCTGGCTGCCTGGCTGCCGGAGGGAACGACCTCGGACGGGTTTCGCAACGTAAAAGACCATCCGCCAGCACGGGCTCCCCAGGTCTCGCCACCGATTCTCGGACCGCCCCGACGGAACCAATCTCTCTCGTAATGGTAGCGATTGAAGAAAGTTTTTTTCCCATGGATTGAGGTGTTTCAAGGTCTGCCTAGCGAGCTTTTACAGGGAAAATTGAGAAGATCATTACTCACGGTGAAAGCGATGAATGAACTGATTACCCACAATGTCTAAGTCATCGCTTTCATTGTCTACATCATAGCGAAGGCTTAAACTCCCAGCGGGTGCAAAAATTTCACAAAAGTGGGAGGCCGTCAGCGGACTCGGTGGGCCAAACCCAAGAAACATGTTCCAACCCTTTGCACTGGTTCTCATCCCGGTACAACCCCCAGTATACGGTACACACATGGCCTCAGAACATCATCTTCAGTTTCAAGGATAATCAGCTACTGGGAACTCCCGACCAAAAAGGGTCTCTTGTAAAGAGTGTGGAGGTGATTGTAGGTAGGAAGGGCAGGCCTTAGCTGAAGGATAGCGCGAGACCACTCTGCATCTTACTTGAATGGGTAACAGATTGATCGGCAATATGTCCAGGAAAGACAGGTGATGGCCGTCTTGGTGTCAGGGTGCGGTCAGGAAACAACAGAAGAACCTTTTAACGAAACCCACACGAACCAAATGGGGCCCACCAGTTCCAAAGTCCACCATGGTGGGGTTTGCTCCCAAGTACTCTACTCTATCAACCGGGACTACTCCGCGCCACCTTGTTGGAAGACGGCATGGACGCCGGGATACAGTGCGCCACTCAACGCAGTCGGCCAGGCCGGACGGCCTTGCCAATGTCACCGTAGCCTGACCTGTCTTCTCCATCATGTAGGGAAGTACCGATATAAGTGGTGGATTGCGATAAACAACGGGGCACGGAAAAACACGGTTGACTAAGGTAGCAGAACGTAGAGGAGTGGAGAAGAGAGTAAACCTTCTGCATCAACCTGAATCAAGCCTCATACGTCGCGCATACTGTATTCGGGTTGACACCGTTATACAACATCCCGGCTGTCTCTGGGAACAGAAGACGAGCTACCTCAATCTAGGAGGCGGTGTCCGCCTTGTGCGCCAATGGTCTCGATCTTATGCAGAACGGCCACAATAGGCTTTGAACCTCGCGGGACGGAATTCCATTTCCATTTCCTCTTTCATGATAGATTGAAATCCTCCCGGGAGGCCACAACGGTCGTTATTCGTGGTCCTCAATATCAGTCACCTACCGAGTACCTACCTAGACCTAGCAATTTTCTCGATACCAACCCGTACCTCCCTTACCCACGGTACAGGTAGTAAGTCATCTAAGGTACAAAGTACGGTACCTGCATCGTTCCTGCATTAGCCGAGCTCAATATAATTAACTCCCGTGAAACGTAATGGCCGTCCAGGTGCCCCATTACGTGTGCCTGGCCCATTGGCACGGTACATTTTGTCAAACCGGTAACGCAGTAGAAACGATGTTTATCCCGCCTGGATTACAATAATTGAAACCTGCTTTAAACCTGCTTTCCTTGAGGGCGATGGATGGGGAAATCACGACCATTGAATATATTATGTCGCGCTAATAGTCTCAGTCATGTACCACAGTAGTAGTCTTTCAGCCACTCTCCCGGGCAGTTGTCAGCGCCTCCTTCCCAAAAGAGGCCGCAGCCTCCGTGTCCTCGACCCACACTGGTCAAGACGTCTCGGAGCTTCCCAGGACCCCTACCTATAGGTACCTTAGGTAGTTCATCGCCAGCGACCAGGCTCTGTGGTACATTAGAGTACTGCATTATTTGGATATCGTGATACCCGAGACACGCATTATTTGTGTGTCAATCCCCATTTATCGTGAGCAAGTTTCTGCGGAAATCAATACCTCTCACAGAAATACCAATGGCAATTAGCCAGTGAATCCAAGACAATGCCGCCTGGGATGAATCGACAAAAACAATTTCATCATGATTGCCGCTTTTCTATCTCCGCCGGTCGCTTCAAAGTCTTAGGCTTGTCGGCAGGACTAAGGGTTCACAATAAGATAAAAAATGAACAAATACAAAACTGATATTCCGACAAATTTTTTGTTAAAAAAATAAAATAAAATAGAAAATCAAAAA